AGAATATTGTGCATTAGGAACTTGGGTTTGGTATCCCCAAAATATCAGGCTTTGCCTGAAGGGACAAGGGGGCCAAGGAGCACCCAGGGGCTGTTTCCATCCCAAAACTGGCAGCTGGAGCTGGCGACTTTCCAGCTGGAAAATTATCCATCCATGGATTATCTCAGGTGCTCCAGGCTGTTCCCCAGCCCAAAATCTGCTGCTTGACATGAGACCCTCCTGAAAACCCAAATGGGCTGTGGATGGACTCAAGGAGCTCCCAAATCCAGGCATTCCTGGTTCAGGGCACACAGCTGGGATGGGAAGGGACAGTGGTTCCAAGGGTTGATGCTGTTTATAAGGCCACGTTATCAGTGCAAGTCCTGCTGCTCCTTTTTTCCTTTATAAACAGCTGTGGAGTTCATGGAAATCTGAAATTGCTTTCCAGGAGGAAATCTGGGCTGAGATTTTGGGAATTTAGGAACCAAATCACTCTTTTTGCTTTTTTTTTTTTTTTTTTTTTTTTTCTTTTAAAAGAGAGCTCAGCTCCAATAAGGAGCCCAAAGCTCTCTAAGGCACAGAGAATTCCAGCACAGCCAAAGGCTTTTGCTGGCCCTGAAAGGCAAGGCTGGGAACTGCAAGGGGAAGGAAAATCCAAAGAGAACACCCACCATGGCACATTGGCTGGTTTATTCCCAGGATGGATTCTGAAGGTATCTTTTCCTTTTGGATAAGCTCTGGGAGGTTAGGAAGGTGGGAAATCCATGTCCATCCATGCTGCCAGCTTCAGGGAATCCACTCTGCTTCATCACTGTGTCTCCCAGCTTAGAGGTATCGTGGATAAATTGATAAAACTGAAAGTTTGGTGCAAGCTTTTGCGGGACTGTGGGATCCATCCCACAGGGAGAGTTTTGGGGTGAGGCTGCTCCCCACTGGAAAAAATGGAGGAGAGATGGCAGAATGGAGGAGGCACTTTGCTGCTCCCACCAGTTCTCATTTGCTCTTGGCCAACCCACACACCTTTCCTGTATTTTTTTGAAATAATAATATTTAAGAAATCCCAAACCAGAAACCACAGGAGGGTCTGGCTGGGAAGCTGTGGCTGTAATTGCTGGTGCTTAAAGGCTGTAGGAAAATATTGATGGAAAGGGCTGTGCCTTCCCATTGCAACCCCACAAAAGAGGAAAATCCCTGTGGCTCTCTGTGCTCTCCCTTTTTCCAGCCAGCCCAAAAGGTGATGACAGAACTCTGGAAAGGAATGTGATCCACAGGGTAGGCAGTGATGGAAGCCTCTCTTAGGGGACAGGGATCCTAAATCCCAGTGGGAATAACCCTTAGTCCCTGTTTTCTGGGTGTTTCACCAAAAAGTTCAGGTTCTCAGACTCTGGTTATGGATGCTGGTGAGTTAAATGTGTTCTCAGCCTCCCACTCCATCCCTTCCCTGGGCATTGTCCACCCATTGTCCATACCCCACACAGTCCAGCAAACCTGGAGCCTTGGCAAACCCCTCAGTCCTGGAATGGTTTGGGTTGGAAGGGCCTTAAAGCCCATCCAGTTCCAAGTCCCTGCCATGGGAAGGGACACCTGCCACCACATCAAGGTCCCTCAGCAGCCCTGCAGCCTGGAAAGCCCCATTGGGTATAAAAAAGCGACCTCAAGGTCTTTTCAACCCTGAAAAGTCATGAAGAGGGAAAAGATGCTCCATTCTGCATAGGAGGAGATTTAAAAATGTTTAAACTAAAACTCTTCTGAAGCAGAGGGGCAGGACACCCTTGTGGAATCCAGGGAGCCACCCCGAAATATTTTTTTTTCCCTGTGGCCAGTGAAGGCTAAGTGGTTTTTGTTGGCAATGGGAGGAAGATGAAGGGAGGTTTCACTCTGCTCGTGGGAGCCAGTTCATGCTGAGATTTGTGATGGGCAGGAAAACTCAGAGATCCATTCCTCCTCCCAAAAAACCCAGGAGTTCTGGGAGGCTGGGAGCAGATTTGGCGCAAACCCCCAGGCCATGTGCAGTGTTGGGGGGGCCCAAACTTGGCCAAATATTGGGTTGTGAAAAGCTCCAGCAGGATTTTTCACTGGGATTTGAGCTGCTTTTTAAGAAAAAAGGCATTTCAGACCACCCTCATTTCCTGCTGTCCCTCCCAGGCACGGCCCCCTGTCCCCGCTGATCCCACTGCACCCGCGCCATCCCGGGTTTCCCTAATCCCACCTTGGGGGCCCCTCTGCCATTCCATGGGTGTGATTTAATCTTGTGCCATGTGACAGAGCTTTGCCTTCAGCTGCTGCAGCCAAACAACCTCATCAGCCGCCCCCCTCCCAGCCCATGTTGTGGTGGGAAACAGGGAATTGCCAGTCCTTGGGCAGCTTTTGGGTGCTGCTGCCGAGTCCCTTTCCCTTGGACAGAGCATTGAACCTTTGGGAGCATTGCACATTGTACAGGGATTCCAGACCATCCCAAAGATCCCTTTTCTCCCCTCCTCTGCCCTGTTTCTGCAGGTTTTGCAGCCAAACTGAGCTCTCCCTGGGACACATGGATCTGTATAGCTTCCCAAGTAATTCCATCGCCTCCGGTGATGCTGTGGATGAGCAGCTCTGAGTCACCACAGGGTTTATTCACTTCCGCTTGCTCCCCCTTTCCAGGTCACAGGGAGTGTTGGGCCCCTCAAGTGCCTCTAACACCCCTGGTGGAAGGAACACTCCTCATTCCTTATTTTTGTTTCAATTTTTCCCTTTATTTTATGTAGCTTTGGCGTCCCATGAGTCCATCACCTACAGCTTTGCCATAACCTCTCCTGACTCCGTTCCCAGGGGATCCCCAGCCTGTTTGAGATGAACATCATGGTCTCCTGGCTCATATCTGAGCCTTTTTCATCCTTTCTCCTTATCCTGGATACACCCCCTCACCTGCTCTGGAGTCCCTTCTTGTCCTGATGCAATCCACCACTTTTCCCTCCATCTAGCACTGGATATTGCCTCACCTGCAAAGAAAAATTAATCCTGGAGAGGAAAGGCCCCATCCAGGGGATTATTTGGGCCACAGATGAGAATTTTCCTGGTGGATTTGGCTGTCCTGAGACTCTCCTGAAGTCTGGGGTGAGCAGGGCTTTGGCCTTGGGATTGCTGGGGTTTTGTCTGGATGCAGGATGGGGAAACACTTTTAAATGCCAAGTTTTTTATATCTTGGCAGCCAACAGGTTGTAATATCACTTGGAAAATCCAGGTATTCCCTGATCACCTGTAGATATGGTGAGATGACTGTGAATGGGGATTGGAGCATGGAAAAGTCAATGGAAATCTAAGATTTCCAGAGTTTTTGTACCAGTGGGGATTTCAAGTGTCCTGGGAAGTGGCTTCCCTGTGGTTTTGGGGGCAGGGAGCACCCTCAGCTGCAGCCCTGGAGTTAATCTAAGGGAGGGTCCAGTGGCTCATGTGAAGTAGGAACAGGGATAAAATCCCCCAAAATTGGGTAATAACAGCAAGAAAAGGCAAAGCAGGAGAGTGAGGAGGCTCAGCACTCCCAGGGCTTCATGTGTGGATTCACAGGTGTGGAGTAAAGACTCAACCAGAGCCACTTCAGCAAACTGGCAAAAAAAAAAAAAAACAAAAAAAAACAAACAAAAAAAAACCAAACAAAAAACCAAAAAACAACCAAAAAAACCCCTTTAAAATTATTCCCCTATAGATAAAAGCCTCGAAAAGGGAATACTTTAATGTGCATCCCTGCAGGGGATGCAGCCACCTGCGGCTACGTGCGGGCTGCAGGGGAGCGGGCGGGAGGCACAGAGGGAGGGAGGGAAGGAGGGAGCTTGGCTTAAGTAACGCTCCTGGGTTAGTCTGGATCAAGTTCCTCCAGCTCCACGGGTCTGAGACACGGCCAGGAGGGAAAACTGCCCTGGGAAAGAGGAGGAAAACCTGCCTGTGGTGGGAAAACCGCTGGGGAAAACATTGAGGACGCTTCGGGGGCTGGGCAGCATCTCCGAACCTGCCTTTAGGTAAGGGGGTGACAGGAGGTGTAGGGGTGGCTGTGCTGTGCCAGGGGAGGTGGCACCATGCCCAGCCTGCCATTGGGCAGTGGGATGAGGGCTGGGATGCAGGAACAAGCCAGTGCCACGCCATGAAGCTGTCCCCACAGTGACCCCTCACCTGGAGGGACAGCAGTGCCCGTTCCCTTGGGCTCAGTCAGTGCCCACACCGTGCCCACGGGCGGTTTTGCTCTGTGCATCATCCAAACGCTTTTCCAGGGAAGGGAGAGAGGAGGTGGAAGGAGGATGTTGCATCCCCTCCTTTCTCGACCCACCCTGGGATGTTTTCCTGCACCCCTGGCTGTGTGCTGCTGCTTCCAAACCGAGCAGGGAAGCGATGCCAAACCCCACGGAGCAGCCGAGGCTGGAGCGCGGCCCCGATTCCCATTGTCCATGGCCCCATCTCCTCCCGGGCTCTGGGCCACGTGTGACACCTCCTCCTCCTCCTCCTCGGTGTCCCTGGGTGCTGCTGGCTGTGCCAAGGGGCTGAGCCCCTGCCTTTGGGGGCTGAGCCACCGTCACCGAGCCCAGCAGTGGGATTTGCTCTGGAGGAGCCTGTGGAAGGGACTCCCCTTACCTCGGGATCACTGCAGACAGAACAGAGTGGCAGCTTTCCCTCTTTTAAACTATTTTTTAAAATTTCATTATATATACATTACATTCATTAATTTTTTTGTTCATGCATTTGGAGCTACCCCAGAGGATCTTTTGGAGCTATCCCAGAGGGTCTTTTGGAGCTGTCCCAGAGGATCTTTTGGAGCTGTCCCAGAGGATCTTTTGGAGCTATCCCAGAGGATCTTTTGGAGCTGTCCCAGAGGGTCTTTTGGAGCTATCCCAGAAGATCTTTTGGAGCTGTCCCAGAGGATCTTTTGGAGCTGTCCCAGAGGGTCTTTTGGAGCTATCCCAGAAGATCTTTTGGAGCTATCCCAGAGGGTTTTCTTTCCTGTGCCGCCGCAGGAGAGGAGAGCAGCGGAGCTGCCGCATCCCTGCGCTCTCACCATGCCCGTCTCCCGCCACACCGGCCAAATCCCGGAGTCCACCTGGACCTTGACCTTCAGGGAGATGACGGAGCCCTGGAAAGGCGCCGTGGGCTGCCTCGGCGTGGCCGTGTTCTTCGCCATGACCATCGGCATCATCTCGTGGCAGGCCGTGGAGCAGCCGCCGGAGGAGTGGGTGCTGCGGGGCCGGGACGCGGGGATGCTGTGGGAGCGCGGCCGCGGGGCGCTGCTGCTGCGGGCGCTGCCGGCCGGCCGGCCCGTGCTGGCCATCGCCGTGGGCAGCGTGCCGGCCACCGAGCCCCCGCCGCCCCGGGACCGCTGCTGGCACGACGGCCGCCAGTTCTGCTACTCCTGGGAGGAGGACGCCGAGCTCCGGCTGGCCCTGGAGCCGCCGGCAGCCCCCGGAACAGAGTGCTACAGCGTCCGCTGGACCCCGCTGCGCCCCGACGTGACCCTGAAGGTAACGAGAACCCCTCCATCCAGCTCCAAACCCTTTGGGATCCAATAAGGACCGCTCTGGCCTCACCATCATCCCCAGCTCAGTTGTGTGATCACACTGTGGTTCCCCGTCTTCCACATCCAGAAGGTGCCGGGTGGGGAAAACCATCTGTGAAGCTGAGCCCCAAAACCTACGGCGGTGCCACGCTGGTGACCCCGGGTGGGAGAGCTGTGTTTATATGGAGACAGAGTAAATACCCGGTGGAGATGACAATGCTGGCGAGAGCCTCGGGAAGGTCTCTTCCAGCACAGACACAATGGGCAGCTCCCGCGGGATGGGAATAATCCGTGTGCGCTGCTGCAAACATTTTTGGTACCATTCCCTGCTTTCTCCCTCAGTTAAATAAAAGCAGACTCTGGGAAGGAGCCTCAGGAGGGGAAGGAGACACGCTGTCAGAGCAGGGTGTCCAGCTGTGGGGAGCCCTCAGAACAGGGAGGGAAGCGGGATGGGATTCTCTGGGAGGGAGAATTGTTCCCCTTCGGCCATAAATCACCTGTTGGCACTGTTCTGGGCGAGTGGAAGGTGTTGCTGAGCACAAACTCTCAGTCTCCTCCACTGACATTGCTGTGAGGCATTTGAGAGGATGAGTGAGACAGAACAGGCTTCCCCCCACTTGTTAAAAAAACCCCCAAACCATTGGAAAATATGATCCAGCGAAATCTGAGTTCAGAACAGACTGTTTTCCCTCTTTCCCAGCTGGTGTAACGAGTTCAGCTGACACCTGGTATAGCTATTCTGAGCCTCCAGGGTTTCCACTTTAATAATTTACATCTCCTCTCCCCACCCCTTGGAGAGAATTAACCTCTCTGCGCCCCCGAGCTCAGGACTCCAGGAGGCTCCGAAGCCTTGGGATTGGGAATAAAGGTGGGGTGGGCTGTGTGGGGGATCTCTGGACCCCCTCTGCCACCCCAGGCCCCCTTCAAGGCCCCAGATCTCTGGGCTTTCGGGGAAGCCCATCCTGCCTGGGAAGTCACGAGGATGCTAAGTCCTGCTGATCCCTCGATTTGGCAGAAAGGGGAAAGTCTGAGGAGCTTTGAAGTGAAAACTGATGGTTTCTGGCAGGAGGCGGGTCAAGGATGGGGATGTCCCCCATCCCAGGGCCCTGTCAGGCCTATGAGAAGTGCCCAAATCTCCAAACTGAGTCTCTTGAGGGAAATTCTTATCATCAGCCCTCAGGAAAGAGGGAAGCTGTGCCTTGGGAGGGAGGAGGTGTCACCTTCAGGGCACTGGTGCTATCAAGGTGAGGGCTGAAGATGGGGCTAAAAGCTTTCTGTGAGAGCTCAGCTGGGGACAGCTGCACTTGCTGATTCACTCCAGAAACTCTGAGAAGGCAGCTGGAGAGCTTAATGTGGTTTTTAAGTAAAGCAGAGAAAAAAAAATAAAATAAATAAAAACAGAAAAAAACCCCACTGAATGAAAAATACCAAACAAATAAAAAACCTGACCAAACGCAAAAAACATGACCAAACCAAAAAATCTTGACCAAACCAAAAAAACCCCAAACAAACTAGCAAACCAAAATACACAGATTTTTCAACTGGGCTTCTGAAAGTGCCCTCAGTGCATTTTAAAGCTGCTTCCTTGAATTTCCCTCTCTGTTGTCCTTTCCCACTCACCCCTGCAGAGTCTCTTTGCTTACACCTTTGCAGCATCTTTTTACCTGTGATTCAGAGGTGTTTGATAACTGTGGTGGAGTGCAGAAGTGTGATTGTCATGGCAGTTTGGTTTTATTTGTGCTCCTCCAGCAAAAACTGGCAGGCTTTGGGAAGCACGTCTTGCTTTTCCTTTGTTTTTTTAAATGAAACCATAATTTTATGCTGTAAAAGGGACACCTGCCACTAGCACAGTTTGCTCCATGTCTGGCTTTCCTGCCCCCTTTGAGTATTCCTCGCTCTTTGATGATGCTTTCCTGGCTGCAGGATTGTTTTTCCATGGCCAATGTCTCCTGGTATGGAGGGCCGAGCATCCGTGCCCAGCGCTGGCCCCTCAACGGTGCCGAGAGCCCCGTGCAGCCCTTGGTGAGCGGCGACCTCAGCGCAAACCCCGACGGCTTCGGGCCCCTCCTGGAGAGGTTCTTCCTGGGATCCACAGGTAACCACCTCCTTCCCTGGCCAGGGCCCAGCAGCTTCATCCCTATGCTTCTCTGCCCCTCTCCTCACCGCTAAAGCAGCTGGTTTAAGGGTAGCGTAGATGTCTGCGGGAATAAAATATCCTGCAGATGTAGCAGCAACAGGGCACATGGGATGGATCCCACATTGCCTCATCCCTGTGGGAAAGCTGATACTGAAGCTGAGTGCCTGAGGATGGGGTGGCCCAAGTCATTCCTGGGACATTCCGTGCTCTTGGTGTGCCTGGTTTCTTTTTAAGCCCAGATCTGTGCCTGTTGCTGCATCCCCAGCTCCACTTGAGTGGCTCCATGGCTCCCTGATGTCACTGTGGGATGCTGGATTCAGGCAGGAGTTCAGCTGCTGGTGTCATTTATTTGGGTATATTTGGATTATTCTGCAGAACACCAAACTTCAGGTATTACCCCAAGTTAATCCAATTGACCTGCAGCTGCCCTGCACTGAATGCTGAGCAAAAAGGCCAAGAAAGGGAGAAATCCAGCCCTTGAAAGGCATTTGGGACTCTACAAGGGAATAGCAGGAGCAGGGTGGGGATGGTTGGCATGGCTGGATCTGCGGTGGGATCAGCCCAGGAGGCCTTGGCAGCAGTCAGGCTCTGCCCGGCTCATCCCTGTGGCTCCCAGGACCAGGAGCAGCCAGGTGCTTCCCAAGACACCATTTTCCCACTTTTCCCCCAAAGGAGTGATGGTGACCGTGGCTCCCGACGTGTCCCTGCTCCTGTCTCTGGAGAGCCACCAGCAGTTCTGCCTGGAGACGCCGGCGGGGCGAGCGGAGCCCCTGCATTACCAGCTCTGTGTCAGCGCCGATGTGGCGGCTGCCCGCCAGCACACGGCCAGCGCTCCAGCTCGGACACCGCCGGACACCGCGCTCCTGGGGTCAGCACTCCTTGCCCCGATGGTGGGAACCCTTCCAAGCGTCCTGCTTTCTCTCCCAAGCACCTCACCAGGGATTTCCCATCCTGCAGGTCTCCCATCTGGCGCTACCACGGCCCAGAGGGTTCTGCCGCCAAAATCAAGCGAGGCCTGAGGTCGCTGGTGAGGAGGCTGAAGCGGCATCGCCTTCAGGAGGGCGTCGTGGCCCTGGGGGAGCGCGGCACCGCCGTCCTCGCCGCCGCGGTACGGCCACCCTGCCATCCTCTGGGCAAGTGGGCAGCGTGGGGCTCCTCTCCCACAAACCCCTTATTCCTGCCCTTCCCGCCCACAGGACCTGGTGCCCTCGGGGCGCAGGAAGAGGCAGGCCCCGGCGCTGGTGGAACCTCTGGAGCTCTCCATCACTCTGTCCCCGTACGCCGGTGTCACCTCCCCGCTCTTCCAGCGCTCCCTGCATGGCGGTGAGGCCGCGGGATACTGGCTCAGCCGCCAGCCCCGACCCGGGGCCAGCTTGGTACGGAACCCCCTCAGCCACCAAACCAAAATTTAAGCTGAATAAACCCCCTCAGGCTTATTATTTTACCAAGGGGCACAGCCTATCCCACTGTGCTGGGACAGCAGTGCTGGGGGAGGCAGCGTCCCTCCTCTTCCTACGGAAGCAACTTAAAAATTTCTACTTCCAGTGTTGAGAAGATTCCCCAGATCCACTTTGTGTGGTCATTTTAATGATCCCTTTGCCACCAGCTCAGGGATTTTTGGGGAGGTTGACTGAGAGTTTACACCTTGATGCACTGCACCATGACAGTGCAGGGTAGGATGGGGGCAGCATGGCATCCCCCATGGAATCAGCAGGACATTCTATGGATCTGACAGGGATTTCCATCCTCCCCCTCCACAGATCCCACTGCTGACCACCTGGAAGGGGCAGCTCTGCGCCCGCCTGAACGTCACCAGCGAGGCAGCGCTGGGCTGGTACCTGGCTCGCGCCCGGCGCCTGCGGCAGGCACTGGGGGCCACCTACGTGGCCTTTGAGGGAGTGGAGGGCAATTCCTTCCTGGAGCAGGATGTCCCTGCTCCTGCTGAGCTGGAGGGTGACGGATACACCGAGGTGCTGGCGGCGGCGCTGGCCACGCTGGGCAATGGCACCATCGTCAGCGCTGGCAGCAGGTGGGCACCAGGGAGAGGCCTCGCTGGAGCTGATGGGCACAGGAGCTTGCTGGGGGATGGTGGAACTGGTGCTTGGAATTCCCTCTTGGTATTCCCAGATGTTTCTTGGCACCCAGGGAAGTGAAGGGGTGAGGAAGTGGGCTAGGGCAGTGTGTTGGAGTCAATGATCCTTTGGATGTGAGGATGGTACGGCCCCAGCACAGGGTGCCCAGGGAAGCTGTGGCTGCCCCATCCCTGGAAGTGTCCATGGCCAGGTTGGATGGGGCTTGGTGCAACCTGGGATAGTGGAAGGAATCCCTGCCCATGGCAGGGGGTGGCACTGGATGGGCTTTTATGTCTCTACCCACCCAAACCATTCTGGGACTATAATCTGGCCCCAGTGACTCCAAAGCCGACTGGGACCATGGAATTTCACCTTGAAGGGTTTGTGCTGTTTCTCCAGATCCAGTCACCTCCCACTGTTTGTCCAGATGAGGCCCCTGCGCTCTGACTGGAGCCATGCTGGGCTGAAGGGGCTCATCCCCTCTGTGCTGCACTACAGCCTGCTGGGCTACAACTTCTTCATCCCTGATGCAGTAGGTAAGGATTGGGTTTCCATTTTTTTCCCCAATTTCTGGCTCCTCTGCAGTGAATTTTGCAGCCTTTTACCAGGCGTGGGAGATACATTTGCACCTTAGGCGTGCTATGGGAAGGCTTGGAGCATTTTGCTCCCCAATTTTCTGTTGTGCTGGTTTGATTGGGGTGAATGTTACCAGGGAAAACAGTGAGGAACTAAACCAAAAGAATATGCTGTAAATATTGCCAGGCAGTTCCAGCAGCAGTTAGGTCTCTGGGGATGCTCTTCCCAGAGTTCCACCACAGCCCTCCCCTGGGGGGCTTGGTTTGGGCTAAATCCCACCTGGCACAGGCAGGATCTGCATCCCCAGGCTCCTGGCTGGGGAATGGATGCTCCTAAAACCCCAGCAGCTCTGCTCCAAGTCTGTATTTCTGCTCCAAAGCAAAATGGCTGCAGAAATCCTGAAATAAAAGCATTATAAAAGGGCAAGAAACAACCTTTAATTAGGGCCAAATGGATCCATTTCCCTTTTTTTCTTGGAGCTGATGGAGTTAATGGTAGTTAAAACATGCCCTGAGCGTGCAGGGGCTGTGCAGAAGTGTCAAACATGGAGAGCTGAGCTAAACAACAGCCCTGAAACAGGGGTTGAGAGCAATATTTCAATTTAGCCTCTATTTTTAGTTTGTTTTCCTTAGAAAATGAGGCTCAAGCAATCCCAGCATGGGAGTTTGCTTACCAAAGAAGTGCTTGTGTGGATGTGAGCGCAGATCCTCCTGCACAGAGAGAGCTGGGCAGGAGGTTGTGTCCCAACAACCTAGCAGGTACAAGAGCTGGGAAAAGCCTCTGGAGGAAACAGGAATTTGTGGATGGCTGGGTGAGCCCTCAGTGCTGGGGGGTTTGTGCCATTTCTAGGGAAGCTGCGCCAGATTTTCAGAGCAATGGGGACACTGTAGGCACTGGAAGCAGCTCTGAGGTTTCCCCAGAACCTTTCCATGCCATGGGAGGCCCTCACTCCAGCCCCATGTTCCTGCAGGAGGGAGCGAGGCTGGAGCCACCCCGGGGGACCCGGAGCTGTTTGTGAGGTGGCTGCAGATTGTGACATTCCTGCCCGTGATGGCCTTTGGGACCCCGCCCTGGCTCTGCTGTGACACCTGGGTACGTGTCCCACACGGGGATTCTGACATGGCCAATGCCCCAAAAAGCATGGAAGGCCTGGCAGGGATCTCCTGCCAGCTGCTGTCCTCAGCTTCCCACTGAAGTGGGAATAAATCTGTTATCAATGGCTTTAGATTCAAGTACCAATGGATTTAAATCCAATGGATTTGTGTCTGTTATCAATGGATTGAATTATAATTCAATTAAATAGATTCATATGCATTACCAGTGGAATTTAAATCAATTTTATTAAGGTCCTTTATTAATGGATGTAAATCTATTCAAATACAATTAATTACTATCTGTTATCAATAGATGTACATACATTTCAATCCATGGGTTTATATGCATTGGCAATGGATCTAAATTCACTTAAATCCAATAGACTCATATCCATTATCAATGGGTTTAAATCTATTTAAATCCAATGAGTTTATATTCATTATCAATAGACTTAAATCCATTTATATCCAATGGATTCATGTTCAATATAACTGGACTGAAATATATTTAAATCTAATAGATTCATATCTATTATCAATGTATTTAAATCCATTTAAATCAAATGGATCCACAACTATTTTCAGTGTATTTAAATAAATTTAAATAAAATGGATTTTAAATTCATTAACATCAGGTTTAAATCTATCCAAATCTAATGTGTTTTCATACCTGCTATCAACAGATTTAAATCCAGCTGATTTATAACAATGAGCAATGGATTTAAAGCCATTTAAGTCCAGTTGATTTAAATCCATTATCAATAGATTTAAATGTATTACCAATGGACTTATATCCAAATCAATTAATATCCAACTATGTACAATATATCAAATTAATCCAATTAATATCCATATCAATTTATACCCATGTCAATTAATATCCAATATCAACCGCATTTGCACCATAGCTGATCAGGACATTCCAATTCAGTAATTTCTCTTCCCAAGGGAACACATTTTACTTTTAAATTTTTAATTATTTATTTTTGGTTTTTTTTCCCCTCCCTGCATTGCTGTTTCCTGGACGTTGGGCTCTTCATGGATTTGTCCCCCACCTGCAGGTCCTGAATCTGACCCGCCAGTGCATCCAGAGGCACCGGGACTTCGTTGTGCCCCTGCTCCTAAAATACAGTGAGGAGTGGCAGAGTTTGGGGTACCCCATCTTCCGTCCTGCCTGGTGGCTCAGCCCCACGGATCCTGTTGCATTCACCATAGAGGATGAGTTCCTCATTGGAGATGAGGTGGGAATTCTGCATTATTCCTGTAAATCCAGCACTGCCCAAGTACAAACCAGGACTTGGGTTTGAGCAGATTTAAATCCAAGCCAAAGCAGCTGAGTTTTGTGGGGTTTTGGGGTTTTTGCTTTTTGGAAAATCTTGGCTTTCCTCATGAAACTCTTATTTAGGGCTCCAAAACCTTCTATCATCTTTGGAAGTGAAATGATTTTGCAGGAAAAAAGAGTCTCAGAATGCTGGGAACTGCTTTTGGGAACTGGTTTTCTGATAAAACAAGGGGGAAAAGTGCTCCTTGAAGGGGGAATTACATTGGCTCTATCACTGGGAAGGAGGTTTTGCAAAAAAACATGCTTTTTTTTTTTGTTTGGGTTTTTTTGTTCTGGTTTTCGAAAATATAGGCTGCATGGAATCTTGGGGCAGCTGCAGACAGGGATGATCCCAATCCCAGTCAAAGGAATGTCACTGCACTGCATTAATGCTTCTAAATTGACAGAAGGCAGGCATAGATGGGATTGGAAAGGAATTCCCAGTGATGGTGCTGAGGCCCTGGCACAGGGTGCCCACAGAAGCTGTGGCTGCCCCATCCCTGGGAGTGTCCAAGGCCAGGTTGGATGGGGCTTGGAGCAACCTGGGCTAGGGGAAGGTGTCCCTGCCCATGGCAGGGGATGGGACTGGATGGTTTTTAAGGTCTCTTCCCACCCAAACCATTCCAGGATTCCCTGATGACCATCTCATCCCCACTCGCACATCCTGGCAAATCCTCCCTCTGCTGAAGTTCTTTTTTCTTTCTTTTCCTTCTCCCTGCAGGTCCTGGTGGCTCCAATAACAGAAAAGGGACAAACGTGGAGGGACATCTACCTGCCAGGAGAGGGGCACCTGTGGCTAGACACCAACACTGCCCGAGTGTTTGATGGTGGCACCACGCTCAGGAATTACTCTGCCAGCCTGGCCGAGGTGCCAGTGTTTGTAAAGACCTCCTGAATCCAAGCTCTGGGACAGAGACCTCCAGGGGCAGCACTCCCCTCAGACCTCCAGCCTCTTTGCACTTTTCCCAAATCCTTTTTTTGGTTTTGTTTTGTTTTTTACTTCAGCAGAAATTGTCTGGATTTTCTAACTCGTTGTTACCCTGAAGTAGCGGCTCTGCCACCAACATCCATTCACACAGAATGCTGCATTTTTTCCAGGGTTTTCCTGGTGAAATATTTGTGTGTGTATGTTCAGGTGGGCACATCCAGCATTTCCAGGTCCCTGGCACCATGCTCAGAGAGGCAGGGAGAGGATTTTCCAGGAGATAAACAAACATCAGCTTATACCTGAGAAGAAGTTTTGTATTTAATGAAAAAAATTAAATCTAGGGGAAAACCACCAGGGTGGTTTTGGTGCTGTGTGTGGCCACCTCCTGTGCTGAGCAGTGCTTCTCCCACCTGAGGCTGTGTGTGGTTTCCAGGTACCCATTTTCTGAGTATATTTGGGGAAATGAGTGAATTCCAGGTGTATTTGAAGCAGGTTTCTATGGAAGAAAAATAAACTTGATCAAGCAGAGGAGTGGCTCTACCAGAGCATGATGTGGATATCGAGGATCCTTGCCCACCTCCTGCGTGCCCAGGCTCATGCTTTTCACCATTTGCTGAATTTTATGGCTTTTTTTCCAATTGTTTCTTGCAGTGCAAGAGGGATCCAGTGTGACCAGGCTCCTTCCATCCAGCAGAGAATGTATCCATAGGCAAAATCCTCATCCCACATGTTGAATATGCATCTAGGGGGATGATCAGCTATGCTGGCACCCCAAATTGGAGATCAATGGGACACTGCAGGTTAGTGGGGTGATTCCAAAGGCTGGCATTTGGAGACAGGGGCTGGATGACAGCTGAGAGGGAAGTTAAGGGCAAGTTTTGGCCCTGGAGCTGGGCTTGGGCACCTCCAGCACTGATTTGTATCAGCCACACCGTGGGTTTTGGGGGAAAATATTCTTGTAGTGAGCTGTGGCTCTGCCGAAAAAGTGCTAAGGGGCACCAACTTCTCCCAGCAAAACTTCCCTGGATAAAACTGAAGGGAATGCAATGGCAAAAGTCAAGTCAGGTTCAACCATGGAAAAGCTGTGAGGGCATGGAGAGGGGAAGAGCCCCTCAGCTCATTCCTTGATCCACAGAGGCACTTAATGATGCTGGCAGAGCTCACAGAAGGAAACTCATGAGGACAACCCAAGGGTGTAGGATGCTCCAAAATATCTGTGGATATATATCTGAGGTGGCAAAAACACAAAAAATAGAAAGGGAGTGCTGGCTCAAGTGGCATTTGTTTATTTGCAGCAAGTCAAGCCCTGGATGTCCAGGATGGGGATCTGGTGGCTCCATCCTGGGAGGTCACCAAAGCCTGCCTTGACACCCTGGGCTGAGTCTGAGTGTGGGAATTCCCATTTTGGGAGGGTGGGCTATGTGTCCCTGCGCCCGGCATGGCGCTGGCTCCTCCCTGAGGAGCCTGGGTTGTCCCACTGGGACCTTGGAGCATGTCCCTGGTCGTCATTCCAGCTCCTCCGCTGCCTCTGACCTGTGGAGTGGTTGCGGGGCGCCCTTCCCTGGGAGGCTCTCCAGGAGTTCTGGCTTCTCCTGTAGGATCTGCCCCGGGTTTGGCTCCTTGTCCCGTGCTGTTGCCTGGAGGAACCCCAGTCTTCCCTCTGATGTCTGTCGCTCCTCCTCAAGGGGTTGTCATGGTTGGGCCTTGGACTGTGTCTGCCATCAGCATCCCAGCTCCTCCAGCGCCTCTGATTTCTGGAGTGCTCGTAGGGCACCGTTCTCCGGGAGCCTGCCGGGGAGTTCTGGTCTCTCCTGTGGGATCTGCCCCGGCTTTGCCTCCCTCTTGTGTGCTGTTGTTCGGAGGAATCAGAGTCTTCCGACTGGTGTGTCTCACTCCTGTCTGAGGGGACATCGTGCTGGGGCCCTGGGGGGTGTCTGTCATCACCATCCCAGCTCCTCCAGCGCCTGTGCCTCGCGGAGTGCTCGGGGGAGCCTGTCTGCGTGTCCTGCTCTCTCCTGGAGGACATGTCCCAGCCACGGGAACGCTCTCTGCCCCTGCTCCACCTGCGCCGGCCCCAGGACCGTTCCTGCTGGCTCCATGACCTGTGGGACCTGCGCCAGGATCGCCGTCCCTGCGAGGAGACCGGGATGGTCCATTCCACCCTCGGAGTCTGTCCCTCTTCAGGTGTGTCCTCCCAAGCCCTCCTCTGGTGCTGCCACCACCTCCTCCTTGGGGAATCGCTGCCTCGGCGGCGCCGGGACTGCCGGCGGCCATCGCGGGGCCACCTCCCGGACCTCCTGGGCCTCCTCTCCGAGGGCCCGAAGGACCAGCTCCGGGCGGACTGGCCGCGCCGTCTGCGCTTCCTGTCGTACACGCGGTCCTGCACCTCATGGTACAGGGCCACGTGCTGGGGGTAGGGGTGGCGCGTGGGCCGCTGGCAGCGCGGGCACGTGGCCTCGCTCAGGCTCCAGTCCCACAGGCACAGCTGGCAGAAGCAGTGCCGGCACGAGCTGGAGCAGGTGGTGTCGATGTGCCGGCACTCCGGGCACGAGGCCTCCTCCTCCTCACGGCTCTCCTCCGGCGGCACAGCCTCGGCGGCCTGGCTGGTGCTGGCGGCCTGGCTGGTGCTGGCAGCCTGGCTGGTGCTGGGCTCCGGAGTGTCCTCCCTCGATGACATCTCGCCCTGCAAGAGGCACAAAATCCATTTACAGGTAGCTCTCCCCGAAACCCCGCGGCTCCTTGGCCCTCCGGGGCTGTCCCACACCTCAACAGCGGGGCCGTGGTGGGGCTGGAATAGCGGTGTTTTCATCCCACAGCTCTCACCATGGGATTGCGGCTCTGGGCCCCCTCTGCTGCTTCTGTGACATGGCCTGTGTCCCGTGGCCGCTGTGACATCACTGATGGTGCTGTCACAAAGGGCCACTGTTGAGGCATGGGACAGCCCCAAAGGGCTGAGGTGCTGTGCTTGGGTTTAGAGACAGGTGTTGGGGGTAAATTTTGTGTCTCGTAGGGCAAGAAGGTGTCACAGGAGTGAGATCCTCAGGGGGAGGCCACAGGAGGTGCCCAAAGTGGCACCACGATGGCCACAGGTGGCCTCAGCATGGCCAGGGCTACAACTCATCAGGAACTGCAGGGTTAGGACAAGGGGAATGGTTCCAAAACGGAAAAGGGGAGATTTAGGTGGAATACTGGGAAGAAATCCTTCCCTGTTCAGTGGTGAGGCCCTGGCACAGGTTGTCCAGAGCAGCTGTGGCTGTCCCATCCCTGGAAACATTGCAGATCTGGCCAGACAGGGCTTGGAGCAGCCTGGGATAGTGGAAGGTGTCCCTGCCCATGGCAGGAGGTGGAACTGGATGATCTTTAAGGTCCCATTGAGCACAAACTACTCCAGGATTCTCATCAAAAAGAAGGAGGTGGCAGTAGAGCAGGGCTTGGAACAACACTGATGATGACTTGGGTCTGCACCCTGAGAGCTGAGGAGGCTCTGCTTGGGTGAGGATCCATGGAGACACACCAGGAACCTTTCAGTTTATTGCACTACTGGCTATGAACAGCTCTCTGAAACAATTCATTTTGCTGCAATCATGGGTACCCAGTTTTCTTCATGATCTCGGGTTGATATCAGGTTTGTTGATATTGTTGGTAAAGTAAGTTAAGTAACCTTCAGCCATGAGGACACAAATCCTATGAGAATAAAGGAGTAAGGGCTGAAAAATTCCGTCTCCTGTGTATGGAAATAATTGGATCGGCTTTCTTCTACAGTGTTCCCTTCTTGTGGGAGGGAAAGGGAGGTATCTTAGATCAATAAGAAAACAATAATTTCCCAAGGAGCTGTGCCTTGGGCTGAGATGGATGTTTTTTGGTGACAACAAAAACAAGTATGGTTTTGGGAACAGGGGGCAGCTGGGCTTGCACCAGCCACCACTGCCACAGGCTTTCAGAGGAAATGGTGGAATGCCATTCCAGGAGGGATTTAGCGCATGGGTGTGGATCCGTCTGTGGCACTTGGGGACACGGTCGGTGGTGACCTTGGGAGACAGCGGGACGCACGTGCTGAGTTTTCCCTCAGGACTCAGTGCCCGCGCACGGCCCCACGGGACTTGTAGTTTTTCTCTGGCTTATCCCCGCTGGCAGCTGCCGCTAAAGAACTACAACACCCAGCATGCCCAGCGTGGCGCTGCACACCCTGGTTGTTCCCGTCCTCTGGAGCCGCGCGATGCATCACGGTGCTTGTAGTCCAACTTTCCTGGACGGCGCGTGGCGCGGCGGAGTGAGGGGACTGCATTTCCCAGCCACCGCGGCGCCAGGAGCGGAACCGGGAAGTGCGAAGATGGCGGTGGATAAGGAGCTGCTGGAGCGGGACCTCTACGGGCTGCTGGGGATCGGCGAGAAGGCGTCCGAGAAGGAGGTGAGGGGCGCGGACAGCTCGGGACTGGCTCCTTCTCTCCCTCCATCCCTTTCCCGGTGTCCTCGGGGGCGGCGGTGCTGCTCTCCAGCGCTGAGCTGAGGGGCTGCTCTAAGCGCTGCTGTGGGACCGGGGCTGGCGAACGGAAAAATCCCGTTTGTGCTGATATTGGCGTTGTGATATCCCGGTTTTACTGGAATTGGCCTCGTTCCCCCAGTTCACCCCTCAGTCCTGCGGGGCGGAACCCGGCTTTGGAGGAGGAGAGAACTGCAGGGTTGGTCTGGGACTTGTTCTCGCTTTGTTTATGTGCTTCCTAACTAGGGAAATTTCCGTGGTGATCCAAAAATCCTATTGTCAGACGTTTGTCCGAGCGCCCAAAAGTCACGTAGTTAATTTTGTAGGGTTTTAATTACACGTTTGCGGTTTTTAATTGAGTTTATTTGGTTAGTCAGTGCTAAACACAGGAAGGAATCTCTGAGAGAGCTGCAGAGGGGCCCGGCCAAGGGCCGGGAATAGCAGGGTAAAAAGGGAATGGCTGCCCAGTGCCAGACAGCGGGGTTGGATGGGACACCGGGGAGGAATTCCTGGCTGAAATGGGAGGTTGGAGATTGGAGCCCGGCGAGGAGACTCCTCTCCCTCAGCTGGACTCTTGTACAGGAGGTGGGACCATCTGCAGGGCTTTTCCTGCGCATTCCCAATCCCGGGAGCTTTGTCCACCAGGTGGGGCCGGGACACAACTTTTCCCACTTGGAATAGCAGGGAATAGTGGGAAAAAGTGCCTTACTTTTTTCCTTCCCCCCATCCCTTTTTTTTTTTCATTTTCACTTTTTTCCCTCCATTTCCCCATTTCTCGTTCTCTTTACCTCTTTTTTTTTTTTTCCCCACTTCTCTTCCTTTCCCCGTTTGTTTTTCTTTCCCTTTTTTGGCTCCCTTTCCCTCTTTTGGGTTCTCTTTCTGGGTTTTTTCCCTTCCTCCATTTTTTTATCATCCTTCCCTTCCCTTCCCTTCCCTTCCCTTCCCTTCCCTTCCCTTCCCTTCCCTTCCCTTCCCTTCCCTTCCCTTCCCCTCTTCAGTTTCCTTCCTCCATATTTTTTTCCTCTCTCCCTTTTCCCCCTCTCCTTTCTTTTTTCTTCTCTCCATTCTTTCTCCTTCTCTCCTTTTTTTTCCTTCTCCCCTTTTTTCCCTCCCCCCCTTTTTTCCCCTCTCCCATTTTTTTAACCTGAAGTTTAACTCCTGCAACGCAAGACACCTGCAAGCCAAAACAACTTCTAAAAGCTCCAGCTCCTTCCAGACACACCCCATCTCCCGAGCCCAGCGGGTTTCCCTTGAGCACAGGGATTATTTTGGGTTTCCAGGTTGCTTTTTTTGGCAGAGCCAAAGCAGTTTCCCCCCAGTGACCCCAGTGTGGCCCCTGCAGGTGAAGACAGCGTTCCGGCAGAAGGCGCTCACCTGCCACCCGGACAAGAACCCCGACAACCCCCGGGCAGGTGAGTTCTTCCTGCTGCTCTTTTCCCTTCTCCAGGCTCCTGGAAGTGCCTCTGCTTCCCTAAGTGCTGAGGGGATGGCTGGGTGGGTGTCCCTGGGGATACACACAGGGCTGGGAGTTGCTCCTGTTGGTGTTAACTTTGCTTTTTAAGGCTGAACGATCCCTGCTGGGTTTAGAAACACCAGCAGTAAGTCAGTGCTGGAGTTACAGCTGCAGCCCTCCATCAAACATTCCCAATCTTTGCTTTGGTGTGTATCTCTCACAGCCCCAAACTTCACCAGCACTCCATAAATCCTTTTATCTGTGGGCAGGGCAAGGGGGAGTTTCAGCTGCCTGCAGCGAGGGATTGCTGTGGATGGAGGTTGTAGAATTAGCAATTACTTTGTATTTTGTGTGTCAAGACTGATAATTCATCTTTATAAAAATATATAAATATAATTTGCCAATGCTTGTAATGGGACAAGAGGAAAGACTTTTAAAGGATAGATGGCTGTAATGCAACAACTTCCAGTACAACATAAGCAGGACTTCTTGTTGAAGGAAAAGGACTGAGAGGGAGAAGGAAATTGTGAGCTCCAGCTAAATCTGACATGGAGATATTGCAGCCCAAAATAAAAATAATCAGTAAGAAAAATTAAGTTTGTTTGTTCCAAGATTTCTCTTAAAATGAAACAATCCCAGTTTTTTGTTTCTTTATTTACTCTTAAATTTGTGTAATACCTTTGAGTTGAGGCTGGAGGTTACCTTACAGAGTTCTTGCAGAGGTGATTTGTGTTCCTTGGAGAGACCTTCCTGCAGGAATTGTCTTTCCTGGTTCTTCCCCAGATCCCTCACCTGGTTTCCCTCATCTTGCCCTTCTTTCTTGTCATTCCCAGCGGAAATTTTCCACCAGCTGTCCCAGGCCTTGGCCGTGCTCACAGATGCAGCAGCCAGGGTAAGGATGCTCCCTGGGCAAGGGTGGGATTTTGGGATGGTGCTGGGAACTGTGATCCGGCCTGTCCTGCTCTCTGCTCTGACGGAGGCTCCATCAATACAAATCTCAGCAGTTATTCTGTTATTCCCCCTGCTTCTTCGTGAGATCAAATCTCAGGTGCCAGGTAGAAGCTTGGAGGAATGTGGTGTTTGGGATTTGCTGCTGGGAGCAGCTCTGCCCTGAGATTCTGCCTTTAATAATGTGCTGGACAGGGGCATATCCCATTTAATAACACCATCCCTGACTGAGGAACACCAAATTCCCATGGCAACATCTGCCATTCCTGTTGAGTCAGGGGCTGACAAATGAGTAATACCTGGATGCAATTCCTGAGGCTCCAAGCTCTGCTGTCTGAGGGACACAGGAGAGCTTGGATCCTTCTGGGGCTGTGGGGAAGTGGCTGAGAACCCACTTCCCAGGCCCTGAAAGAACCTGAAAATGTCCCTGGAAAGAATAAAACCAAAAAATGAGCAAGGAACTCTCTCCAGATTAGCTCAGGAGAGGGAAAAATGTTGATTCCAGGTGATAAAAGCTAAAAACATGAGCTCCTCTTTTCAGGCACTGGCAAAGCTTGTAATCCAAGATGCTTCAGCCCTGCTGACAGGGTTTCAGTCCCTGATGTCACTGCATTCCCTGTTTTCCAGTTTCTCTCCTGGTTTCTGTAGTTTCCCACTGTTGTGCTGCTTCCTTGGCAGGCAGCCTATGACAGGGTGAGGAGGGCAAAGAAGGAGGCTGCAGCAAGGACACAGAAACTCGATGAGAAGAGGAAGAAAGTAAAGCTTGGTGAGCAAATCAAACCCTCACAATCTCCTGAGGTCTCCCCTAGCTGCCTGTTTGCATTTCTCCTTCCACTGGGGTCAATCCATGGGGGATGACTCTGGTTTCTTCATCCCTAGTACAGACCAGTAGACCTGGAATCTCCTCCCACAGCCATAGCTGGGGTGGTCCTGCTGTGGGAATTAGGGGGTGGAGGACTGCTAAGGCTCCTTTGGTGTGTGATCTATCCATCTTCCTCTGGCCAGCAGGGAAAAATTCAAGTTCTCTTTGGATTGTTTGAATTTTGTTTCTTTCTCTGCAGATCTTGAAGCCAGAGAACGGGAAGCCCAGGCCCAGGAGAATGAAGAGGAGGAGATCAGGATAACCAGATCATTAGAAGAAGAAGTAAGGATAAATTCTTAGTTCTCTCTGCTGTTTTTGAGAAGAATTGCTGGAAGTATTTCCATTATGATGAAATCCATGGGATGAGGTTGTCAGGAAAATTAATCCACAAACATCAGAGGTTTATGTCCAAAAAGGAGAGATAGGAGTTTTTTGACTTTATTTGAATAAAGGGAAGAGGCCATGGGGCATTCCCCTGGGGTCTCTCAAATTTTTGGAGGACACAGCCTCCCTTTTAATCCTAATTTCCCAGCTGCATTTCCCTTCTCTCTTTCCCCATTGGCTGAGGTACTTGAGAGGTACAGACTCCCCAATACAACTGATACCAGAGATTTCCCTCTAATGTGCAACCCTCCCTTTCAATTTTTAATTCTTGTGGAATTTAGGGGTTTTTCTTCCCCACTGTTTCTTTCATCTCTCAATGTCTAATTTCATTTATCAGCAAAACTAAAGTTTATTTGTAAATGCAAATATCCTTTTCCATTCATCAATCAGTGGAATCCTTCCCATTGTTTCTTTTATCTCCCAGTGCTAGTTGTATCTACCAGCAGACCCACAGCTGGTTTGTAAAGACAAATCTGCTATTCCTCTCAAGGTGCAAAAAATCTCTGGAGAGCAGTGCATCAACCTTTGGGATTAAAAGGCTCTGTGCATCAGAGAATCCTGGAATGGTTTGAGTGGGAAGGGACCTTAAAGGGACCTTAAAGCCTATCCAGTTCCAGCCCCTGCCATGCTCAGGGGCCCCTTCCACCAAACCAGGCTGCTCCTTTTGGAGCTGCCCAGGGGAACTGGCAGGAGGGGTGTCCCAGGAGATGTGTGTGAGGCTCAGGCTGTCCTTGGAAGTGTCCAGGTGGCCTTGCAGCCCTGGCTGTGTGCCTCAGGTGCCCGTGCTGTGTTCCCTGTGCCGCAGATAATCCGCCTGCGGGAGGAGGGCTCCCGGCAGCTGGAGGAGCAGCAGAGGCTGGTCAGGGAGCAGATCCGCCGGGAGAGGGAGCAGCACAGCCGAGGTGAGCACGGGGAGCACCTGCACGTGGCCTTGGGCTCTTTGGCAGCTCTCCGCCCTGAATTTTTCCAACCTTCTTGCAGGGAAAAATGCCTCAGAACATGTCTCCGGCTTGTGTTTTTGCTGACCTGTTTCTAGCCTTGATCCTGGCAAGTCTGTGATTCCTAAAAGGGAAAAATGATGCCATGGAGTATTCAGTCTGTGCTGCAGTTCCTGTTGCACGAGATTTTTGGGACTGGAATGGTCCAGTGGAAATCCCAAAGTGTTTCATCATATGTATGTTCTCAGGGGAAAAAATGTGCAAAATGCTGAGGAATTTTCACCTATGTCCTTTCCATCTTTTCCATCTTTTTTCTTTTTTTTAGGCAAGCAGGAAAGAAATGGAGCAGAAGGCAAAATAACTCCTAAGCTCAAGGTAAGGCATCCTTAAAAAGCTGTGTTTTGGTGAAAACTGATAGAACATGGTGGATAACAGAAGGGACATTTCAACCCTACTAAGCTGGCACATCTTTTTTTATACTGGGATGTATAAATTCCACTCCATGAAATGTGCATCATCAGGTGAACAACCCCTGTCCTTGCTGTTAGAATTCCTTCCTCAGTCACCTTTTCTTTGTCTGCTCCAGATTTCTGAGCCTGGGATTGAGTTGTCTGTGCTTTAAGCACGGGGAACATCTGCTAATTACCCTGGCAGAGCCATTAGCATCCTTTCAAGTGCAATCTTTTTTTATTCCAGTGAGCAGCGTTTCTCCCTGTTCCCCAAACAGTTTGTTCCCTGTGCTCACTCCCATGCTGAGATCACTGTCTTGGCAGGCCTGGGAGTGTGGCTGGAAATAGCAGACGTGGTGAATGTGCAGGGGGGTGGGAGCTGCTGGCAGCACATCCAAACGGGAAAAATTAACTCCTGCTGTTAATTCCCCAGCTCAGGTGGAAATGCAGGAAGGAAGATGAGACTGGAGGGGGATACTCCAAAGATGTGCTGCTGCAGATCCTGCAAAAGGTCCTGTCTGACACTTCCCTGTGTGTTACTGGGTCTTCCCCTGATCTCAGTGCTGTAAGGATAGTGAATTCTGGGAAGCTACATATCACAGAATCATGGAATGGTTTGGGTGGGAAGGGACCTTAAAAATTATTCAGTTCCACCCCTTGCCACAGGCAGGGACACCTTCCACTATTCCAGGTTGCTCCAAGCCCTCTCCAACCTGGCCTTGGACACTTCCAGGGATGGGGCAGCCAGAGCTCCTCTGGGCACCCTCTGCCAGGGCCTCAGCACCCTCACAGGGAAGGATTTTATCCTAATCTAATCTAAACAGGTAATCTGAACTAAACAGCTGGTTTGAAGCCATTCCCTGTGTCCTGTCACTCCATGCCCGTGTAAGCTGGAGTGGTTAATTTCCTTCCCTGTTCAGCTTTCTTATGCAGTTTTCAGTGCTCATCAGCATGATCGTGGAGTCATTAAGGTTGGAAAAGATCTCTTAAATTATCAAATCCAACCTTTGAACCAAGTTGGATCCTTTGATCCCTGAGCTGGGACTTGTTTCCCAGCAGAACAACTGCAGGCTCTTCCCACTGAATGCCTCCTGCCCATTTATTCTGGCTCTGTGGTTGTGGTGCACTCATCCTTCACATCCCTGCTGTGGCAAGTGCAGAGACAGGCACAGACAGGCCTTTGATCTGATCAATCCCACCCTGGCCTCCTTTCCCTCTGAGCTCAGCAGCCCTCTTGCACTGGGAGCCAAGTGAGTAGCTCCATGCCTTCCCAGATTATTTCCTGGAGGGACAGAAATGGTGACAGCTCAAGCCTCATGTCTGTGAAAACACATGTTTTCTCTTTGTGTTCATTTGAGAACTGAACTTGACATCTCTCCTGGCTCTGTAATTAACTTCCCTTCCTTCCTTTCTTCCCACAGTATGGTGATGTGCTCAATTTGTTGATCTCCAGCAGGAAGACTGGCAGTGCAGTGGTGGAATTTGCCACGGTGAAGGCAGCTGTGAGTGTGCAGAGCCCCTGCTGGCTGTGCTGGGGGTGGCACAGGACAGGTGACAGCCAGGACACTGCCCTGTCATTAAGGCAGTGGAGAAGGGTAATGAGAGTCAAAAGGCACGGAGGGAGTGGCACAGCTGCAGGCACAAACCCAGAGATCAGGCACATAAACAGGTTGTGCATGGAACAGGCTGAGGGAGGAGGCACTGCCTTAAAAATCAGGCACTGAGCACTTACTCAGCTCTCTCTGAAGGTGAAATGCCTTGGAGTTGGGCTTATGTGTTTTGGAGGTGATATCAGGCAGTTGCAGTGAAAAACAACCCAAAATGTCTTGACTCACTGTGAGTTACAATAATTCATGTGGCTGTGGGAGCAGAAGTCATCAGTTATCCTAAATTTCAGTAGTTCCATGAGCTTGGGCTGTATGAGAGTTTCCTTGTTAGCTTTTCTTTCACTCATATCCAAATGATAAAAGCCCCCAGAACTGTGTGTGACCTGTATATCAAAAGTGCTGGCAGGGGTATGGACCAAGGGTAAGGTGCTTCTCATGTAGGGCAGCTGTGAAATCTGAGAGTCATGGAATGGTTTGGGTTGGAAAGATCCTTAAAATCTTACAGAGTGGAACCATAGAATGGTTTGGATTTAAAGGGACCTTAAAAGACCATCCATTTCAAGTCCCCAGTCATGGGCAGGGACACCATTCCACAATCCCAGGCTGCTCCAAGCCCCTTCCAGCTTGGCCTTGGACACTTCCAGAGACAGGTCTTGCTTGTGCCCTGCTTGGCCTTGAGGCCATTCTGAGATGGGAGCATGATTCTTAGGGACTTGTGAGGGGAGGGAGTGGGATCTGAAATTCAGGTGGTGATGGAAGGGTGTTTTCCCTGCCAGGAGATGGCTGTGAAGAATGAAGTTGGCCTGCTAAATAACCCCCTGAAGATTTCCTGGCTGGAGGGCCAGCCCCAGAGCCGCCCCAGCACCGTCCTCCCCGACAGCAGCAGCCAGCCCAGGAGCTCACAGGTAAGGAGATGGAAATCCTGGAACAACCTACATCTCAGAGTGCTGTCAGATAGCAGTTGTTGGGGCCAGCCCTGGCTTTCCCAGCAGCCCTTTCTGTGCTGGATCAGTGGCTTTCTAAAGGACCTCCTGCCTGGGCAGCAGCACACTGGGAGCTGTTTGCATCTTCACACATTCCCTTTCTCCCAAGTGAAGAACAAAGAATGTTCCTTGCTCAGCCCAAAGCCTCCAGTGCCATTCTGATGGGATTTTTGGAATCCTCTGAGTGAGAGCTGCTGAAAGTTCCTTTGGAGAGTCTTGGTTGCTCACTGCATTCCCAGGAGGAGGAAGTTTCAGTGCTGGAAGCAAACCTCTATTCTTAGGGTCTGCAGGAGCAATATCAAGCTAAATACCCTTTTGTGTGTTCACTCCCTAAATATTTTAAGCTTGTGAGATTGTTCAGTGCATTCACTCTCTTCATATTTCATTAAGTATTTTATTTATATTATTTGTAATTATGCATCAAACACCCTGATTGTTACCCTGTCCATGTAGGACCAGGGAGAGTCCTGCAGCCACAGGAGAATCTCCAGAGTGTTAGGAAGGGAACTGGGCCAAAAAGCAGAATCCAAAACATGTTATTTGAGAATTTCTCACTAGCTGAGAGTGAGAACTGGCCCATTCCTACCAAAGGGGGTTGCTGGTGCAGTTGGAGCTTTGGTAGTGGATTCCAGCCTCTGTGGGTTCAGATCCCTGAGTTTGCCTTGGCCTGTTTCCATGCCCAGAGCTTGTTAGTGTGGAAGTGCAGCGTCTGCCTGCGGTGCAGGATTAGTGTGGTGGGGCAGCAGGGAGAGCAGGAAAGCAGCACACACAGTGCTGGTGACTCACCTCTGCCCAGCACAGCTCCTCAATCCCACCTGGCTCTGGGAATGCTGAGGAGCTGCTGCCAGGGACCTGCATCCTGCCCAGGAGCTGCACAGCAGGTGCTTTGCTGTCCTTTCTGCTGCTTTCAGCTGTAAGAGGCTGCACTTTCTGGGACTGAACTGCAGCCTTGCATCTCCTAGCTGCTCTCTTTCCTGTTTTTCCTTGTTCCCACTCCAGACCCTCCCCAAATCCTCCTGCTGCATCCACTGGGATGCTCCTAAAACCTGCAATGTGTTTACAGCTCCTCCTGGCTGATCTGCTTCCAGCTGACTTAGCTTGTGCTCTCCAGTCCAGGAGTGTGCAGAGTGTGCTCCCAGATCCCTGTTCCCTCTGCCTCTTCCCCTCACACCCAGCCTGGCTTCCCAGGCACCAGGCTCCACGTTCTTGCTTCCAGGCTGCACTTACCTCATCCTGATTTAAGCTGCCCTTGCTTCCTATTCACTCCTCCCCTCTGTTTTTGTCTGAATCCACCCCCAGTTTGTTCCCACTCTGTGCAAAAGCAGCTCCTCTGCTGCTCTGCTTCAGGAAACAGCCCAAGCCTGCAGTGTTCTCATGGCAACACGCTCACTACTCATCCTCTGCTCCCTGTCTGGGACAGGCAGCCAGGACCTGAGAGCCAAAATCCACAGGTAAAGGACAGCCAGACCCCAGGCAGGGGGTTTGGGAGCAGTTCCCAGGTGGAAACTGCTCATTTTCCACAGCCTTGTTGTCTCCTACAGCAACAGGTGCACGTTGTGCAGCAGTTCCCGGAGAGCTGCTGCAGCCAAGCAGGCTCCAGTTCCCCTTGGAATTCAAAAGCTGTGGCTTGCACAGTATTACTCCAGGCTATGGAGAGCAGTGGCTGTGTGATGGTTCAAAGCACACAGTGGCTGCAGAGAGCTTGTTTTGCATTCCAACAGCATGCAGTGCACAGTTCTGGGAAGATTTTCCCTGCTCCTGCACTGGAATCTCCCTGCCAGGGCTCCTCAGCCATTCAGCTCCTGCCTGGTGTTCTTGTACCTGTTCTAAGCTCCTTCAGAGGTTTCAGAGGGTTTATTTCATATTATCTGACTTTGGGAGGTGAATCTCACACGGTAAGAGGCAGCTGTGCCTTCCTTGGAGTGTCCCTGCACTTTGCTGTGGCCACTTCCAAAGCTCCTGGTGATCTGGGGCATGGAGGTTTTTTAATTGTTTTTTTAAAAGAGCCCTAATAGTCAAAAAGCTACGAACTGGTAGTTTCTTTTAGCAGTTTGTCCTGGTGCTGCCCAAAATGTTCTCAGCCTGGCAGAGCCTTTCCCACTGTCCAGCTCAGGGTGGGCAACTGTTCCTGTCTTTCCCTGAGCTCTTCTCCAGGGGAAAATCAAGTCCCTGTTCCCTCTGTCCTTCCCTCAGAGCCACACAGGTGTCCCACCCCCATCATAAAACCCTGCAGTGCCAGGGAGGATGGGCCTGGGCCACTCCAGATAGCCTGTGCTCCTGGTGCCTGGGATTTCTGTGGCTTGTTCCCAAGGAAATGAGGCAACCAGACACTTCCAGTCACAGATACATTTATTCTTCTATGTCTGTACAGCTGGGAGCTCAGTGCATGCGTGAGGCAGCAGTGTCAGAGACACCTCTTCTCCTGCCAGGAGGATAAATCCACTGCTGGTGCTGTATCAGGAGCCTACTTGGATGCTTACCTGGCTGGGAGTGCCACCTGCACTGGAGTTAAGGGAAGAGAAACCCACAAAGAGGAAGAGAAAAAACGGAGGAACAGCTTTGAGCTTTCACATCCAAACATGGTGGGAGGAGAAGCCCCAGTTCCCGTCTCTCAGCCCTCAAAGCTTTGGCTTCGGGGTGCAGTGCTGCTGCCTCCTTGCAGGCTGCCTGCTGTTCCACAAGTGATCCATGCCAAATCCCTGTGTGTCCCTGCCCCACAGTGTCACATCCCCAAAATAAGTCTTTCCCAAAAAGTGCCAGTCTTCCCTGAGGATGGGACGCGCAGTCCGGAGTGGGAAATTCCCGGAGTGGAGAGCGGAAAGTTGGCCATGAGGCAGCAGACGGTGCTCTCACCTGAGCACAGAGCTCTGCTCCAGAGGATTCCTTGGCAAGGACAGGCATGCTCTGTGGTGGGTGAGGCGAGGACAACAAAACAGGCCACACACATCAGGCATGTTCCAGTATCCTTCCTCCTGCTGGAACGGGAGGAACTGGCAGCAGCAGTGAGTAACTGGGATGTGATGGACAAAGAATACCTTCAAATGGCGTAATCCCTCGGGTTCTGTTTCCTGAGGGTCTGCAGCACATCCTCAAGGAGAGATAGCCCCAAATCCACTTTGAAGGACAGGAAGGGGTCAGCCAGCTCAGGAAGAGTGATGCTGTTGGGGAGACCTGCCTCTGAGGTGCCGTGGTCCGTAGCCTGATCCTTGTGCGTGGGAGTGCCTTTGTGGTACGGAGCGGCGTCGGAAAAGGAGAGGTCGGAGTGGGAATCTGTGCGGTCAATGATGTTGGGGCAGCTGGAACTGTCCAGGTACAGCCGGGGAGGCTTGGGAGGGGCTTGTGCCTTGGCCAGGTTCTGCTCGCTCTGACAGGACAGGTACTCAGACTTGTCCTTCAGATCCCTCAAGCCTTCCCTCTTCTGGCCGTCCGTGTCCAGAGTGTGGCTGTTCTGGTTCAGGATGATGACTTGGTTGCCCAGCTTTTTGTGCCTCCTGAGGGAGAAGCGCCGGAAGAAGGTGGTGGACTTGAGGGACCCCCTGCGCCAAGTATCCATGGTGAGGAAAGGCAGCGAGGAGCAGGAATGCTGGCTCCTCACAGGCAGGAGCCCAGGGATCAGCAGAGAGCCACGCAACAGGATCGACCTCTTCCTGCCCCGTTCCTGGAGCTGCAAGGAGCACAGAGAGGCTGGTAGTGCAGGAAATGCAAACTCCACGCCGTGGCAAGGAGCACTTGGCTTGTCTGGGATCTGAAGGAGTCTCCCCCTGGAGTGGAGAGGAGCGGCAGGCGGTGTGTGAGCGAGCTCGTTAAACGTGTGCTGCGGCTCCGGGCTGGTGGGGAACAGCAGAGGCACAGTCACCATGAGAACAGATCTAATCTGGCATCTAGAACAGAAGGGCACTCGGGTGCCATGGTAACCAGGCACCTTCTGAGGAGGGGCACCGCCGGAAAAGCGCCGTGGGTGGCTGGGAACGAGACGGTGACTCAGTCCCACCGAAGGAACCCAGGGAATACGGGAGAAGGGGGATGAAGAAAGCGACAGTGCAGGAGACAACGCTGGGAGAACGGAGTGCAGGAGAGACTTACACTCTGTTGGAGCAGCCAGGAGTCCTGGAGCGGAGAGGAGAAGCTGCTGGAGCACTCAGAGACCAGGATGAGGAAGCAAGTCCAGGAAGAGCTCAGCCAGGAGTCCAGGATTTCAGCCAGGTTGGACCCAGAATGCCAAAACTCCCCAGCTCTGCCGCCGCCGTCCCTTCATGTGCCACCCATCGCTGCTTCCCGGGCTGCGGCTCCCTGCGTGGATGTGTTTGTTTTGAGCCAAGCCCTTGCTGAGTCAGCCACGTCAGAAACTGGGTTTCACTCCATTGGTAATTGCCAGGATTGCAGGAAATAGGTGTGTGGAGTGGTGGAGCCTCAGCCCACGCTCAGGCAGTCGGGAGCACGTGCTGGGAGCCCACCTGGATCAGGCTGTTCTTCCTCCCGCCGCTCCGAGGGCTCCTTGTGTCAGCAGAGCTCCCAAGCCAGGCTGCAAATAATTTCCTGGCTGTTTGAAATTATAATCCCAGCGTGAGGTGGGGCTTCAGGTTTGTGTGGGTGATTCATCTGCATAAGTCTCAGGCAGCCTCTTCCATCCAGCCCAGCAAATTCCTGGGGTTGGTGGATGGGACTTGGAAGGATCCTGGCTCAGGGCTGATACCATCGGTGCTTTCTCAGACACTGCTGCTGCCAGTACCCAAAGGTCATTTTGCTCAGGTGGCTCCTAAGACACCAATTAGACTCTTAATTTCCCTCTTGATGTTCCTTATCTGTTGTGGGCTTTCATTGTGTCCTTGCAGCCGGAGGAACCACTTTGCTGGCACAGGATAAGGAATTGCACTCGCCCATATTTCCATGCAGAGACTTATTTAGGCATTCTATTGCCTTTGTATCCCTTCTGCTTCCTAAGAAATCCTTCAATATCTGGAGAAGCTGTGGCTGCCCCATCCCTGGAAGTGTCCAAAACCAGGCTGGAGTAGCCTGGGCTAGTGGAAAGTGTCCCTGCCCATGGCACGAGGTTGGAACCAAATCATGTTTGGAATCCCTTCCCACCCAAACCATTCTGGGATTCCGTGATTCTCTGTGATCACCACTTAACCCACTTCCTAGAAAAAGGAATACTAAGGGTTTTTTTTCCCATTCACCTTCTGTCAAGAAACTCTTATTTCCACCTGAACTGTCAAGGAATGAGCTGGATGTTTCCAAGCCTTGCAGTGCTTTCATACCTCCAAAATAGCACGGCCACCTACTAGTGTGGAATGGCTTTGGAAGCAGCGCCAAAGCACCGGAGCAGCTGTCATCTGCTGCCCACGTTCATTAGGCAGAGTCTGCAATCAACTGCCTTGACGTGACAGTTGCTGCCACACGCAGCAGGGAGGCTCTGGGAGCTTTGGGAAACTCTTCCATTCCTGTGTCAGGTTTGGGAACATCCCTGGTGGTTTTCTTTGTGCAGCTGCTTAGAATCGGGGAATTGTTTGTGGTGGAAAAGACGTCCAAGGTTATTGATTGCAGCTGTTAGAATCATGGAATGGCTTGGGTGGGAAGGGACCTTCAAGTCCATCCCAGGGCAGGGACACCTTCCACTAGCCCAGGTTGTTCCAAGTCCTGTCCAACCTGGCTTGGAACACTTCCAGGGATCCAGGGGCAGCACAGCTTCCCAGCTTCTCTGGGCAACCTTTGCCAAGGCCTCAGCGCTGTCAGACAGTTGGAAGTTAGTCACTTCCATGACTCATCCACAAAGGTTTGATTTTTTTATGGCATTAGCCTTTGTAACAGGTGAAGTGTATGCTGGACTTCGGGCACCAACGTTGTAGGTGCAGAGTGATCTTGTAATCCAAAATAATTCCCCATTCAGCCTCATGGAATGCTGGCTCCATGTGTGTCCTGCTTTCCTTACCAACCACACTCATTGCTGGTTATTTTAAATAATCATTTTAATAACAATTCCTGGTTATTTCCTGTAGCCAGGCAGCTTTCACCCACCTCACCCAATTTCTGTGGGATCAAACCATTTCCTGCCTGGAACGCTGGTGTTGTGAGGGGGATTTGGGGAAGTCTGGGAGTCTGTCCTGCCCCTGATGGGCTGTGTGTCTCTCCTGCTCCCTTCCAGGCGTCGGTGGTGTCGGAGCGGGACTACGAGAGCCTGGTGATGATGAGGATGCGCCAGGCGGCCGAGAGGCAGCAGCTCATCGAGCAGCTCCAGCGGGAAGACGAGGAGGAAAAGTCTCACACTTAGCATGAGAGTATGGATTCTTCCCACCCCTCTGTCCCCTCAGAGCTGTTTCTTTATTTAAGTCAATAAACCTCCTTTTTTCTAAAGGTATTGTGGGAATAGAAACTCCCAGGGATTGCAGACCTTATCCCATTCCAGGTTTGGGGAAGGAATGGCTGCCTGAGGTTCACAGAGTGCAGGTGTTACCCTGTCAGTGTGTGTGCCCAGAGCAGCTGCCCCATCCCATGGGACAAGGTGTGAGAGGTGCCATCAGAACACCAAAGCCTGGAGATTTTAATTCCTGAAAGCTCATTCAGAGGGATTTGGCAACAGCTTTAAACAACCCACAGAAGGACATTGGTCTCTTTGGAGCAATGTTTTATTATGTTTTATTGGTGTTACTCCCATAGCAGGATCCATTCACAGTCCCAAACATTCCAGCAGTGTTGGGATTAGAGCCTGCACCTGGAATAGTCACACAACAACACTTTCTGTGTTATTTTGGGAATCCCATGTTAGGCTTGGATGGCAGTCTGGAATCTGGAATTTCAGTGGTGCTGCTGAGATGGAAGCGGGCCTTGCTGCCAAGGGGAGGGATTCTCAGAGCCCTGGGAGTAGGTTTAGTGGTTCCCTCTTGGATTTCAGGGATGAAATGGGATGGTGTCCATGCTTGCTGTCCCTCCCTAACCCCCTGGCCCAGGAGAAGGCAGGCAAACAGGGCTGTTACTGAGCTTCCTCCAGGGCATGCTGAATACATGATTAAAATGTAAAAAGCTGGAATTTGCCAGACTGCCATCCCACTGAAGGCAGAGCTGGAGCCATCTGTTCCCTCTGCCAGCTTCTGGGCATACCTTCCTCCCTCTGCTCTTGGGAAACGGAACAGGGATGCCAAAATTCCACTGGGTCCAGCTCTGCCTCTGCGCCGTTCCTCCCCTGCCCGAGCACCTGGAGTCTGGGACAGGAAGGAATTAAGGGGGAAAAGTTTGCTGCCAGTCCTATAAGATGATCTCCAGCAGGATGTGGTCCGGGTGGAAGGCAGGGTTCTCCCTGGCTATTCCCTGTGGAGGCACCAGACCAGGGTCTGGCCCACGCCGGTCATGCTGACCACGCGGTAGCCGAGGCTCTCCAGCTTGTCCAGCACCACGCGCGGAGCGTCGTTCACGTAGTACTCGCAGCTGCACCCAGGAGAGATGGGATTGAGGTGAGCTGGGGGGGGAAGAGATGGGGATTTCCTGCTGGAAGTGAGCCTGCCTTGCTCCTGATCCCTCTAAGACCAGCGGCCACACCTGGCACAGGCGTGTGTGACACAGGGCCTTGGTTAACCCCGGGGGAAGGCACAGCCCCAGGTGCCAAACCACAGGAATCCTGTCCAGGAGGGAAGGATCAGGTTGAATGGGAATGTGGCTCAGGGGCTGGTGTCCAGAGCCACATGCTGCTTGGTAACTGGGCTGACACTGTAGCAGAGGGTTCACAGGTAAACACAGTGAGCACGTTTTTAGCATACCTGGGAATTCATGGAGGAGGAGAGGAGAAATGATTCAGGTGTTTCTAAGGAAGGAAATCCCAGTGTTCTACCCATGGCAGAGTATGTCTGTGAGATGGGTGGGTTTGAGAGACTGTTAGAATTTGGGGATTGGAACAAAGTGATGCTTTCAGGCAGGTGGGAAACCTTTGGAAAGCCAGTAGTCATCCATCCTGCATGGATGTGCCAGGCAAGGTGGAGCCCAGGCTCCTCTGTTCCAGCAGTGCCTGGGAGCTGACACTGGGATCCTTGTCCAGCTCTGATTCCCCAGTGGTTTGTGCTGGCTCTGTGCTTGGAGCACATTCCCACATTCCTACCCCTCTATCCCAGAAGCTCCAGGGCTGTGACACTGCTCCCCAGTGAAGGGACCAGGCACAGACTGGGCTGAATTGGCTGGGCACAGCTGAGCTGAGCTGAGCTGGCCAGTGGGACCTTTGGCACTGGATGTGCCAGCCTCTCCTCTGCCATGACTTTGGGATAAGGCCCAGAGCAGCTCAGCTGTAGCTGACTCACAGTGCTGAGTAAGCAGATAATGATGGGCTGCAGGATCACTGGGGATCCTGTTTGGGCACCTGAACAAAGCTTCTCCTGCTTTTCCTACTAATAATGATAAAAAAAAGATCCAAAAGCCTTTCCAAAGCTTCTCCTGCTTGGATTTCAGACCTGTGCTGGAACTGGGAGTTCTTTAAAGCACGAAATAACCTGAGATGTGAGAGATTTTCCAGTTTCTCAAGACAGACTGTATACTTGGCTGTAATTATAGATGTGGTGTAAAGATAATGTGCATTATTATAAGTGTCTTTGAAGTCTGTTCTTTCTCCAGGAGGGTTGCCACATACCCTTCGGATTCGCAGTGGGAGCTAGTAAATATTATTCCCACTATTCAGAGGAAGTAGCAGAGGCAGGGATTTATAGAAACTTAAAAAACTGAGTAGCTGAGCTAAAAGCAGGAGGTAAGAGTTCCCAGGGCTTTATCCCAGCTGTGTGTTGAGGGAAATGAAGATTGCACACCGTGGGTATCAGATCTGCTGCTGTCTCCGTGTGCATCCAGTCGGGATGGAGGGGCTGGGATACCTGCAAAGCCTTTTCTTCCAGGTAAATCCCACCCCACCCCTTGCCCCACCTGGCTGCCCCAAGGGCTCTGACCCTGAGAGAGAGGGCAGGGACCACATCCCTGCTCCCCACACCTTGTGGGCCTTAATGAGGGGCCGTGTGTCTGTGCAGAGCTGTGGAACAGGATCCGTGCACTCCCTCATAACAGGGATTTCAGCTTCACCTGTATATCCCAGTTTCCCAGCAGCTCTGTGCTGCTTGAGGTTTTCCTTCAGGCTCCCTACAAGGTCATGGCTAAAGTTCTGGGGCCCAAGGTGCTGCAGGAAAGGAGTTTGCAGCATCCATAGCCAGGCTCTGCTCATGAAGAAATTGGGAATGGAAAATCCTGCTTGGCCACAGTGCAGATCCTGGAGCTCCCAGCTGTGGTTGGGATTCTGGAGGAGGCAGCTGGGCTGGCACGCGGCTGTGCTCCCGGGGGTGCCAGCAGCCACATTCCAGCCAGGGGACTTCCCCTGTGTGCCTGAGCGGTGGGGAGGGACGTGCTGTGCCGCAGGGATGCCCCGCAGGGATGTGCCGAAGGGACACTGGAGTTCCCAGCTGTGACACAGGCCATGCCAAGGAGCAGGTGGGGCAAGAGCAGCTCAAAACGCTCCGGGCCATGGGGAGGAGTGAAAGGTGGTGAATCCAGCAGGGAGATCCCATAGGAAGCTCACATCCCTTCCCCAAAACAGGCAGAATGTGGTGCTTCTGCTCCTTACAGTGCTGCGGCTCCCCCAGCTGCTGGGGCAGGCACCACAGAGGCTTTTATCTGTCTTTGCCTTCCTTTTCCACCTGAATCCCAGGGATCCTTGCCCAAATCTCTCAGGATCCAGTTCCTTCTGGGAGCCTGTTGTGTTTCTCTGTCTCCCATCCCGTTGCGAAACTCCGGGCTGCGCACGGCGGGTGGCAGCACGACTCTGGCGCTGCTGCCAATCTCTGCCCCACCCACGGGCTTGGGAATAGCAGCACGGAGAGGGATCAGCCCGGCAAACCCCCCAGGAATGCAGCTGGGATGGGGGGGCCCTTCAATAGTTATATTTTATCTCCTTCATATTAACTTTTCCCACCCCACTGAGATTTTTAACGCTGCAGCAGCCGAGGATCCAGCCCTTGGTGTTGACCAGGCTAGTGCTGAGTAGGAGGGTTTTCCCAGCTCCATGGATGGAAGGTGGAGAACATTTAGGACGAGATACACCTTTTGTTTTAATGCCTCCTCCTCCTTCTCCTATTCCTCCTATTCCTCCTCTCCTCCACAGCACATGGGACACAGCAGGAATTGAGCTGCTCCTCTCTGTCAAGTTCTTTTGCATTTGGGGGTTTGTTTTGCTTTGCCATTGTGGTTTTGGTTTTTTGGGGTTTTTTTCCCACCCCAGGGAAAACCAGGAAGTGAGATATCAAGTGAGGAAAAATAAAGAAAAAAAAAAGTGAGCCAAACCATGAGGAAGATGCTGGTCACATCTCCGAGTGGCACTTGGTGAAAGGCTGGGGTCAAACTCGGCGTGGCCAGAGGTGGGGACATGGAGAAGTGTCAGATATCCACAGCTTGGGAACATGCCAGTGGAGGGTTGGAGTCAGGGTGACACAATGGGGAACAGCTCCAACCCCAGGGCTCAGCTGCCCATGGAAAAGATTTGGCAGCTGTTGGGAAGGGCTGGCTCAGGTGAAGCCTTGAGCTGCACTAGAGAGTGGGATGGGATGGGATGGGGTGGATGGACAGACAGACTGCAGCTGGGAGGGATGGGATGGACAGAACTGGGTGAGCATTCTGGTGTCTCAGCACCAAGAAAGGCACAGGCAGAGCAAGGCAGAGATGGCACCAAGAGAGAGAAAGGGGGATCAGGTGCTAAAATAGGGTCAGGGAAAAGGAAGGTGAAGAACCAAGTGAAATGTGGCAGCATTTCCGTTAACAGGACACATGGAAGTCCTGGGATTAACTGGACAGCTGGAAGGTGCTGTGGGGGATTCCAGGAGTGAAAATGTTCTGCATTTCTTGGGAAAATAAGGAGAGGAGCACTTACAAGTTGTTGCCCAGCGTGCTCCTCTTTGTGGCCCCCAGGATGCTCATCAGGTGGGGATCCGAGTGCTCGTCACCCACCATGGTGGGCCCAGCCTCCTGTGGGACAGGCACAGAGTGGTGAGTGACACATGATGACACGGCCACCCCCTGTTCCCTCAGTCCCAGCCACTGGCAGGAAGGTGCAGCTGCTCACCCAGGAGGTTCCAGCCTCGGCTCAATGCCAAGTTTCACACTGGAAATGTTTGTTTTGCCCCTTTGGTAAAGAGCAGAGCTTCCAAAGTCTCTGAGGACAGACTGAGCCCTGCTGCTCCAGGCTGTTCCCTCCAGTGCCATAACTCGTGTGTCCCTTCCTGTACCTCATCCATAATCACTCAATCAACTTGTACAATCCCAAATGCCACTGCCAGCAGATGCTTTGGTGCTGCAGCATCTCCACACGTCCCCATTCCCAATCCACTGCAGTGTCCATCACAACTCCCTCCCTTTGCTCATTTGCTGTTTTCACTGCCCCACTTGTCTCACTGTTTCTCTGCTTCCTGCCTCAAACCACACCAGCAGATCCAGGCTTCTGGATGTCGGGAAAAGGGGAACCCCAGATAAACACAGAGCTGTGGGCTCCTACAGAGTCCTGCAGGATGTGGCTGCTGCTAGAGCAGTAACGTTTGCTTTGTGGCTTTATTCGGCAGGGACAGCAGCGATCCCAGCGGTGCTCCTGGACAGGGATCCCAGCCGCTGCCCCAGCCATGCCCACTCCCTTGGCCGCGTTTTCCACCCTGGAACGGCTCTTTGGGGACGAGGGAAAACCAACTGCGAGGACAAGAGGAGCCGTCTCTTTGGCGTTCCTGGGGTCCTGCCGCAAGTTTCCCAAGTGAGTCGCTGTTTGGGACAGGAGGCTTTGGGGCAGCAAAGCACCGGGGGCTCTCACCGGCTGCTGGGCACAGCCTGGCCGTGCTGGGCTCCCCCAAACCTGCATCACCCCCGACCCCCCAGCAGCAGCCGGGCCAGCCCCTGCCGGGATCGCACCGGTGGCACCGCGGGCTGAGCGGGTCTCACCGCTCGCCCCGGTCGGTCCCTGCTCGCCCCCCGGTATTCCCCACCCCCGGGGTCCCGGCGGGACTCACCAGGCGGATTTGGGTGCTGATGAGCAGGTACGGCATCTCCGCTCCGCCGCTCCCGCCGCCGCTCCGGGGGAACCTGCCCGGGGCCGCCCCCGGTCCCGCCCCGCCACCACCGCCCCCGGGCCCCGGGGGGAAAGGCACCGGAGGGCTCGGGGGGGCGGGAGGCACCCGGGGGGCTCCGGGGGATCCCGAGGGGTCTCGGCGCTGCCGTCCCAACAAAGGGTGGGCAGGAGGTGAAGGGCTGGAAGGGGATGGAGCAGAAGGGAACAGAAGGTGAGCAGGGAGAGGATGGAGCAGGAGATGATGGACTGGGAGACAAAGGACAGGAGATGATGAGCAGGAGATGAGATGCAGGGACGTGGAGGACAGGAGATGATGAGTGGGGAGGCAATGAACCAGGAGATGATGGACAGGGAGATGATGGATAAGGGAGACGAAGAAAACGGAAATTAATAGCAGAGAGATAAAGGACCAGGAAATAACAGAGGAAGGCGAGGACTGGGAATGGTGGAGCAGGAGCCAGGCAGGTGGGCCCTGCAGAGCATTCCCACTCCCACCCCACAGTCTGACCAAACATCCCCCTGAAGCAGAATGTTCAGCATTTCCAACATTTTTTGGGAAAAATCTCTTTTTCTACTGTTATTATCTGAGAACACAGGGGATTTAAATTCCTTCATAATTGGAGAAGTTCCATTTCCTGAGACTGGGACAGGCAGAGGTGCTGCACATCCGTTATTATTGCTGTGTTATTAATTATTAATTGTTGTTGTTGTTATAATTATTATTGCTGTTCATTGTTATTATTGACATTTTCAGTGACATGTTGGTTGGGTTTGGTGACATACAAGAAACCCCACAGGCTGTTGGTCTCCTGTTCCTAAAGCACATCCCACAGATCCAGTATGTCCATCAGGAGTTCCCTGTGGGATACCTCCCCCCACGGGTTAAACATCAGCTTGTTTTCATCATTCCCATCCTCTTCCCCAAGGCTTGGAACACCTGGAATGTTTGCTCATTGCTCTCCTGTCCCAGTGCAAACCTGTTGCCCAATGCACCAAGGGCACGTTTCACCCAGCTGGGTTGGATTTTGACAGAATTCCCATAATCCATGACCCCCCTGGACCTCTGCTGGGCATGTGTGCTCTGTGGTTATGCAGGGAATGATATGGATATAAAATCCAGACCTTTCCAGAAATTAAAAAACTAGCCAGGGTTCTGGCAGCCTGAGCCCAGCTCTGGCTCTGACTCTTATGTGGCTCTTTCCTGGGGGCAAAAGATAGGAAGGAAAAAAGAGGAAATGAGAGCAGAGCTATACATAACATTTTAATATTGAATTTATTGAGGAGATACTGAAATCTGGGAGGCAGCCAGATCTCATCCATCATCCCAAAGCACCTTATCACCCTCTGGCTCCCAGCTGGCTGCTCCCAGCTCTCCTTGCACTGGGCTGGCTCAGAATTGCTCCCAATAATTCAGATAAAGGGAAGCAGAAGGTTCTTTGGCTCTGCCCAAATCCTGCTGTCACCCAAACCCTCAGGAGCAGGGAACACACACAGAGGGGTTTCCCCTCTCCTGACTGGCACCTTTCCCTAAGGAATCCTTTGGCTCTTCCAGAAAAAGGTATTTCTAATTTCAGTGATTCTGGGGTAAAGAAGTTCTTCCTGGGGGATCCCACCAGGAATGGAACCACCCACCATATTTCCTGTAGAAGGGAGAATTCCAATCCCAAAGGCTTGGGATGATTAGTTTGGTCATTCCCATCACCTTGACCTAATCCTAAAATCTGTTATCTCATCCCAAACCCGCTGGCTCTGTGCCCACAATCCCACAGCCAGCCCCATGCCCAGCTCCCTCCCTACAATAACCCTGTCCCGCCCAGCTCCCCAGATTTGGGCACCCCAAATTCCTAATTTTTGGGGCACGTTTGTCCCTCATTGCTGCAAGAAACTGAACCCCAAACCCAGCGGGGTTTCCTGCCGCGTGTGGAAGCACCCGCAGAGCGTGGGGCTGTGTGGGGACACCCGCCCTGTCCCCTGCACCGCCGGGCCGAGGTGCTGTCACCACGGCGGGACAGCTGCCGCGGTGGCAGCAGGTGGCAGCCGGCGGCCTTGAGGGGTTTTTCCCGGGACACTCCGCGGACTGGGGGCCTATGTGAGGGCGGTGACCCCGCTGAGGGCGGCCCCGCTCCGGGGCCCGGTTCGTGCCCCCGCCATGTCCGCCTGTTCCCACACGCGCGCGCCGCCCTGGGCGTGGCCTCGCCGATGACGTCACGCGCCCATACTCCAGCCCTTTCCCTCCCCGCCGTCGCATCTCAGTGACGCCATCGCGGCGCGCCGCGGGCGGTGCCGCGCGGCCGGAGCGGCCATGGCGGTGCCGGTGGTGGAGCCGGCCCGGGCCGGGTCCCGGCTGGGGATGGCGCTGGGGCTGGCGGCGGGCGCCGGCTTCTGCCTCGGCGTGCTCTGGGTCATGCGCCGCCGCTCCAAGGAGGCGGCGGGGCAGCCGCGCCCCGGTACGAGCGGGATGGAGCGGCGGGGGAGCCGGGTCGGGATGCGGGGGAATGGGGTTGGAATAGGGAGGAGTGGGGCTGGAATGGGGTACATGGGATAGGGGGGCACGGAAATGGAATGGGGTTGGAGGAGAGAGGAATGGGGCACATGGGCTAGGAGGGCACGGAGCTGGAATGGAGGAAATGGAATGGGGTTGGAATAGAGAGGAATGGGACTAGAGCTGGGGTGGGAATGGAGGGAATGGGACACATGGGATAGGGAGGTCTGGAGGTGGAGTGGAGGAAATGGAATGGGGTTGGAATAGAGAGGAATGGGGCACATGGGATAGGGTTGGAATAGACAGGAATGGGGTTAGAGCTGGGGTGGGAATGGGGCTGCAATGGGGCACATGGGATAGGGAGGTCTGGAGGTGGAATGGAGGAAATGGAATAGGAAGAGTGGAAAACCCAATTGGAGTTGGAAGAATGGGGTTGAAATGGGGGAGTGGGGTTGTACTGCGGGAAATGGGGTTGGAAGAGGAAGCATGGGGCTGGAGTAGGGGAGAATTGGGATGGGATGGGATGGGATGGGGGAGCAGGGCTGGAATAGGGGGGAGTGGGGCTGGCATAGGAGGAAGTGAGGTTTGGGGTGTTGGGCTGTTAGAAGTGCTGGTTTGGAACCCTGAACTTGCTGGGTTTCATCCACACCTGTGCAAAATTTCAGGAACAGAAAATGAAACTGTGTTTTTACAGTGATCATAGAAAAATGGGATCCTGGAATGGTGTCGGTGGGAAGGGACCTTAAAGTTCATCCAGTCCTACCTCCTGCCTTGGGCAGGGACACCTTCCACTATCCCAGGCTGCTCCAAGCCCCACCCAGCCTGGCCTTGGACACTCCAGGGATGGGGCAGCCACAGCTGCTCTGGGCAACCTGTGCCAGGGCCTCAGCACCCTCACTGGGAAAGATTCCTTCCAATATACCATCTAAATCTCCTCTTTTCTAGTTTGGATTTATTCCCCTTTGTCCTATCACTCCTTTTCCATTTTTCCCTCAGCCTCCCTCAAGGGGCAGTTGGGTCAGCACAGAGCCTTCTCTTTTCCATGCTGAACAATCCCAGCTCTCCCAGCCTTTCCCAGCAGCAGAGCTGCTGATCCCCTTGGTGTCCCTCCCAACACCAAACCCTGTATCCCCTGCCAGCAGAGCTGTGCACATTTCCCTTCCCTGGAATCCTTTCCCTGGGATGTGACCCTGGTCGTGCTGTGCTGCAGGCGAGGCCGTGCCCGTTCCCGTGCCCGTTCCCGTGCCCGGGGCGCTGCTCCCGGTGGGGGATGCAGCCGATGGAGCCGTGCCCAGCCCCCTGCTGCTGAGGCAGGACGAGCTGCTGGAGCGCCTGGACTTCGTGGTGAGGAACGTGGCCGAGCTGAGGAAGGAGGTGGAGGAGCTGCGGAACAGCCTGCAGGACCTGGCGGTGGAGATCGTGGATGAAGTCAGGTACTGCCCCTCTGTGCTGGGAAACAGGCACAGCATGCCTGGGGCTGGGAATGCCTGGGATGGGAGGGACCTCAGAGCCCACCCACCCATGGCAGAGACGCCTTCCTCTAGCCCAGGCTGCTCCAAGCCTGTCCAGCATGGCCTGGATCACTTCCAGGGATGGAACAGCCACAGCTTCCCTGGGAAATCCATTGCAGTGCTGCACCACCCTCACAGGGAAAGATCCAGTCCCTAAATCCAACCTAAATTTCCCCCTCTTCCAATCTGAATCTGTTCTTTCACTCCCTGATGCAGGGGCTGGATGGACATCCCATCTATGGATTCTGTAAGGGTTGTCCATGCAGGAGGATTTGCTTTACCTGCTGATATATTGTATTAGATACATTATATTATATTGTATGTGTCATATAATTATACATTGTATGTATAATATATATTATATAACTATATATCTATTATACAAGATACATTATATAATATATATGTAATAGATACTATACTATATATTATAATACATAATAATATATAATATACTATGACATATAAAATATAATAACTAACATATAATATATAAAATATATAAAACATTGCAATATTTTATGTATTTTATATATAATATATATGATATATAATATATATTATTGTACAATGATACATTAATACATAACACAAAATACATTCTATTATATTATATATAATTTTAATTATATATGATGTGTTATATATGTTATATAATTGTATATTATATAATATATATTATAGAATGCATTATATTAGATACATTGTATACATTATATTAGATACATTGTATATTATAGTTATAATTATATAACTATATATGATATATTATACTATATATAATATATTTATACTATATTATATGGTATAATATGTTATATATAGTATAATATATCATATATAGTTATATAATGATATATAGTATAATATATAATATATATATTGTAAAATAAACAAATAAATATAATATTAATATATATTATACAGAACACACCATCAGCTCCATTTGAGTTTGTATAAACAGGAGTGAACCACCTCGTGAATTCTTTACCTGGAAAGGGAATTGGGTGGAGTCTGCTGGAGAGGAGAAGGGGAATAGCAGATATTTCACTACCAAATATTTATTTCTCTTCCTTTTTCTCTCCCTGCAGGGCCCACCTGGAAGAAACCCAGCGTGTGGGTCGCCGGAGGAAGTTCCCCTTCAGGGAGAGAAGTGACTCCACAGGCTCCAGCTCCATTTATTTCACCACCAGCTCAAGGAATCCCAACACAGATGATGGAGAGAGTGAAGGGGGGTAAGGAGAGCAGTGGGACAGATGTTTTAGGGGATTTGGTGCCACATCTGGGCAGTTTAGAACATAAAGAAGGGAATTTTCTTCTCCTACAGCCTGTTTCAGTTTGCTTTTGTTACAGTAAGTGTGTTACTGCCAGGGCCAGACTGAGAGATCTGAAATGATCCTTTAAGAGAAAGGAAAATAAAGTTTTGAGGGGTTTTAAAGAAACAATTTGATTAAGGAACCTTGCAGAAGGAAGGGAAGTATGAGTCCAGCCTGGATATGGAGTGAGAGAGTTTGGAAATCAAATTTCCAGACAATTTATATTATATTATATTAAAATGATCAAATCATTGGATCAATGAATCCTGAGGTGGAGGGGACCCAGGAGCACCATCCAAGTCCAACTCTTGGCCCTGCACACGACAGAAAATTCTGTGTGGTGTAAGAACGTCATTAAAAATGTCAGTATAGCTGCAGGTTATATACTAAGACAGGTAACAAGTTCTCCTGCACCTGTGACTGCTGATTTTCTGAGGAGTTGCTGCTCCTTTGTGCCTGAATCTGACCACTTCTGTAGCTTTTGGGGTATGGAAGTGTGTCCAGAAACAGCTGGTGCTGCTATATGCATTTTCCCAGAGTATTTGGGATGAAATGTCATTTAAAGAGGGATTTTAGAGCAGTGGAAGCATTTCATTTTTAGAGCAGTGGGGGAATTTGGGCACCCAAATGATCCAGGGGCTGGTGCCAGCTGGCATTTCAGCAGGGATTTTTCTTGCCAGGACAAAGAACAGGGATGTGGTTCTGCCCTAGGCTCATGTTTGTCTCTAATAACTGGAGCTGGTGAGGGTGATATCATTGGGGTTACAGAGCTTCATTCAGCTCAAGTGGGTGTTGGGATGGGAAGGAAATTAGGGAGGGAGTGATTCATGGTGGTGTAATAGGTAACAAGGCTGCAGAACAGATTTTGGAACTGTGGAGTTGGTTCTGAAGGCAGGGCTTGGGTGTTTGGGTAACAGCAGATGCACTGAGTCACCAGGGGAACAATGGTTTGTGTAAACCTGCTGGAAAAGGGGGTTTTGGACACACATCCTAGCCCTGGCTGTCCTCAAATCATAAAAAATTATAAGTTGTGATGGAGGCCAAGAATTTAGAGTTACAGAAAAGGCACCTCCTGAGGGGACAGGGGTGTATTTCACTGCAAAACCTCATTAATTTATTGGGAATCTAGAGGTGGTTGGTGGAGTCCTTATCTATTAATTATCATCTGTAATTAGCTGTAATGACCTGTGTGGGGATTGGTGGCTTAGCAGCTCTCACCTGATTTAAAACTGGAATCTTAGGTAATGCCTCACTTTGGTCCTACACAGGGAGGTGTAAAAATATCAGTCAACCCAGGACCAGCTGCTTGCAGTGTGCGGTGTTGTCTGCTAGGGATGTGAATGTGCTTGAAAAGTAGCATTTTCAAGGCTAGGAAATGTAAATTTTGGAAAAAACCTACTGAAGCTTTGGAGCAGGCAGTGGGAGGAGGAATGAGCCTGTTGCCAGCAGATGGATTTCAGCTGGGTGTTCCTTGCTGAATCCTTTCAGTGGAATTCAGAACAGACAACCCCCAATTTCAGCTTTATTTTGTGAACCACCTGGGCATGAGCAGCTTCTCCAGTTTCAGACACAATTCCCAAAAATCTACCAAGAGTTTTCAGGGAGGTTGCGCTGCCTTATTTCCTTGTGTGGCTTTGGGTTTTGGGCTTCTTCACCTCCTTTTCCCATGGGCTGTTTTCCTTCAGGATTGCCACATTAAAGCATTCCAGAGCTTTCCATCATTGTAAACTCAGGAAAATAGGCTGATAACACCAAAATCCCTTAATCTCCCTGAAAACTTTGGGTTTCCTTGTCTTTTTGAACTGGCAGAGTCTCATAGGGGCTGTCTGGCAGAAAACACGGTTGGTTTTTGAGCTGAAGGGCTGAAATCTTGGCAGCTGCCAGTAAAATGTTGGGGGTTAGGATGGGGAAATCAGGAAATTCAAGGAGTTTGTGTTTAATTAATGAAAATGAGGTGGTCTAGAGAACTAATAATGGCATTGATATTAAGAAATGTAAATAAATGAGGGTTTTAATCTGAGGCAGAGCTGTGCCAGTCACCTACCCTTGTGTTGGTTATCCATTAATTCAGTGTCATCTCCAGCATGGCATCCTTGCTTTGCTGCCTTTGCAGTGTGAGGCTGATGCTTTATTTCTTGCCTTAGAATGTTTCAGGACAACATGGTGGGGTTTTGAAAGTCTGGGTGAGGGTTTGAGGGAGCAGAGAGGGGAATTGCTGAGAATTAGGTTCTCAGGAAGCTTTGATAGCCAAACACGCCTTGTTATCTGTGTGTGGGCAAAGCCCTGTCACTGCCTCCTTCAGATAGGGGCTGTGGTCACTTATCTGTGTCCCCAGACAAAGGCAGGGCCACAGGGCTGTCCCTGGGAGGAGCAATCAGCCAGGACAGAGGGAAGCACAGCTGGAGGTACCCAGTGCCCCCAGAGTGCAGGGAACTCAGATCCTGCAGAACTGCTCAAGTTCTCTTGGGCAGTTACTGACTTAAATCAACAAAGCCCCTGTGTTCAAATGCACATTTAGAAATGACTGGCTGATTTGTGCTTTCAAACAAGACAGATAGTCTTGTTTGAAATGGAATCAGCTCTGTAAGTAGACTCCCTCCTGCTGTGGTACCACTGTGTGACCCTGGTTTAAATTTCAAATTTTAAATTCCCGACTGTAATGCTGGGGGAGCTTAATTTTCTCCATTTTCAGGAGCTCTGATCTGAGCTTTACAGGATCACTGAGGTTAGGAGGAGCTGACAGGCTGTGCAGGGGAGGTGGGGATAGTTAGAATCCTGGAATGGTTTGGGTGGGAAGGGACCTTGAAGCTCATCTAGTGCCACCCCTGCCCTGGGCAGGGACACCTTCCATAGACCAGGTTGCTCAGAACTGACTTGGGACATCCTTCAGCTTTCTGAGGGCGACACGAGAAATGAGGTTGTGTGAGACACTTGGGTTGTGCAGTTTTCTCTGGGATAAGCCAAGATACTCTTCCTCTCCTCTCCTCAAACCGCTTTGGTGATGTTTTCTTCCCCCAAAGTTACACCACGGCCAACGCCGAGTCCGACTACGACCGGGAGTCGGAGCGGGAGAGCGAGGACGAGGTGAGCTGTGACACCGTCAGGACCATGCGCAGGGACTCCCTGGAGCTGCCCCCCGAGGATGACAGCTGTGACATCGTGAAGAGCCTGCACAAGGACTCGCTGGAGCTGCCCCCTGAGCTTGAAAGCCGTGACATCGTGAAGAGGCTGCACAGGGACTCGCTGGAGCTGCCCCCTGGGAGTGACAGCTGTGACACCATCGGGGACTCGGTGGAGCTGCCCCTGGAGGATCAGAGCCCTGTGTCCCCAGAGATGTCGCTGGAGGAGGGGCTGGGGCAGCTCCTGGAGCAGGCTGACCGCCTGCACAGCGGGGATGAGAAGGACAGGAGAGAGGGCTTCCAGCTGCTCCTCAACAACAAGATGGCGGTATAGGTGCCTTGTTGTATTTTCCAGCACCGGGGGAGGGTCAGCTTGGATGGCAGGAGGGGTTTCTTCACTCAGAGTGCAACCTGGAAATGATGCCCACCTTGTCACCCAGCCCAGAACACTGAGTGCCATGTCCAGTCATTCCATAGAAACTTCCAGAGATGGGAACTACCACATTCCCTGGGCAGCCCCTTCCATTGCCTGACCACCCTTTCCAGGAAGAAATTCCTCCTGGTGTCCAACTTTAAATCTGCTCTGTCACAGCTTGAGGCCATTTCCTCTTGTCCTATCCTTTGTTCCTTGGGAGCAGAGCCCAGTTCCCCCTGACTGCCCCTTCCTGTCAGGGAGTTGTGGAGAGGGAAAAGGCCCCTCCTGAGCCTCCTTTTCTGCAGGCTGAGTCCCCCCAGCTCTGTTCCCTTCCCTGGACATGTCCCATCCCCTCCTTCACTGCCTTTCTGACGTGACAAGCCCAGAGCTGTGCACAGCACCAAAGGTGCCCCTGCCGTTCCCAGCACTCTGCAGCGCTGAGTTCTGTACTCACCTCCCTGAGGTTCCACTTCGCTTCCTTTGGAACTGGGGTGTTTTAAGGCTTAGAAGGATGCCTGCATGCCCTGAGCTGTGAGTGCCCTGCTCAGCCCTGGTGCTGACTGCTGTGGGGTGTTTGTGTTCCCTGCAGTACGCGGGGCAGCGCGAGTTCCTGTGGCGCCTGGCGCGGGCGCACTGCGACATGTGGGAGCTGACAGAGGACAAGGACGAGAGGAGGTCCTATGCCACAGGGGGTAAGGAGTTCCTGCTGCCCCAGAGGAGGGCAGGCACTCAGCTGCACAGCCCCTCCAGCTGCCAGCAGGGCTGTGGTTTTATTGGGTTTCCCTAGGATCTGGTGGGAAGCAGCGCTTTAATTTTGTGTTTAAAAATTGAGTTTCTGAAAGAGTTTAAATAGGCTGAGACCTGTTTAGAGCTGGGAAAATTGTTTCTGAAGCCTGTCATCCTTTTTTCTGTGATACTAAAATAAACCATGGATATAAAATAAACAAGCTTTGCTGTAGCACACTGGATTTTCTTGTTGCCAGCGCGTGCAGATATGAAAACAATCACTATTTTTAAATTCTCTTTAATTTCATTCCCTCTCTGTTCTTTACCACCTCAAAGGTGTCTGCAAGATTTTAGGTGAGTCAGAATGGAGAAAAAATAATCTTTATTACAGTTAAGATGTGCAATAAAAGATACTAATGTAAATAATTTTTATCTTATTTATTATGCACATAACTGAACAGAGTTACTTAATACTGTAGCTAATATAATTACTCTTTTCTGGGAATCAGTGGAGCCTTTTAAACATGGAATTTTAAGTTTTATATTGTCCTTTGAGCTATCAATAGGTGCTTAATTTTCAGCTTTTTGAACCTGCCAGGGGATAAAATTTTGTATGGGATGTTTCCAAGCCAAATGCATTATCAAATTGACAAGTATATGACTTATGCTGTTCTGTTACTCTGACAGGCTCAGAGAAAGAAACTGGGAGAGAAAGCAGCTGAATTTCTTACCTCTGACTCCTTTTTTTGTTCCAGGGAAGGAAGAGCTGGAACTTACCTTGCCGAATTGGGATGAAAGCGCTGAGTGCCACCAGTGGTAAGTCACTTTTTACTTCTTGCTTTTAAGAAGCATAGGAAAAGGACCTGGAGGTTTTTGTGAGCTGAGCTGCAGTTAAAAAAAAAAAGAAATACAACCCTCCCCATAAACTTCTTTGCTGTTACTTGCACTGTGCCACACTGGTGGTGTTTTTCCATAAAAAGCCATTTTTAACAGCTTTGCTTGCTTGGTGTAAGGAATGACTTGACAGACAGTAGGTTTGGTTGTGATGGTAGGAATAAATATGGGGTATCTTACAGCAACTTAATTATGAGTTCCTCTCTGAAGAGCTCTGGAGGAAAAGCTCCCAAGTGGAGCTGCTTTTGAGGCAGGAGGGGATGTGTTTGACTCCATCAGCCAGGCCTGGGAGTGTGGGCTTGGTGCTCTGCCAAATTCCCTATTTTCCACTTAATTCTGGAGGAAGGAGATCCATCACTCTCAGCAGACAGGCTTTTAGAGTCTCCTGGAAGTGTTTTCTGGCACTGCTGGCTCTGCTCTGATCTCCCTGCATGGCCCTTGGCTTGGACATGAAGGGACACAGCAGCACGTGGCTCTTTTTTATTTAAACAGAGATATTTAATGTATTTGTGCCATGCTAAGAGAAGAGATGATCTGCAGTTCAGCCAAGCAGTTGTGAACAACATTTCTGCACAGGAGAGGGGGAAGGACCTTGCTGCCTTCAGCAGCCTGGGTGAGCAGGCTGTGCTTCCAGCCCTTGTGGGGGATTTTTACATGTCCTTTATAAAAATTACTCCAAAAGGGAGTTTGAGGAGTGGCACAGGTATTTGGAGATAAGGGAACTGTTTCTGTTTCTTTTCTGGTGAATTCCTCTGTGAATGATGTTTGTCAGCAGTTGCACTGAAGGATTGACAGCACTTAAATTAGAATAAAAGGGATTTTTTTCTTCTTTAATGAAGATTATTGGTAAAAGAGGTTGCTGAGTGTCTTTGCCAAACAAGATCTGTGCTCTTGCTATGAGTAAATTTGCTTGAAGGGTTGTTTTGAACTACTGGCATCTGAATAAGTGCCTTTATCATCTTAAGCTGTATTTCATCTGTTGGTAATGAATTACTGCTCTCAATTAAAGCTTTGATTGGAAGGAGGAATTTGGGAGCAGGAAATTCTCCAGCAGGTCATGGTGCTGGGCTCTTATCTGCTGCCTTAACATCTTTGAATGTATGGGGTTTAGTTGCCGGGGTGAATCTTGAAATTTGTACTTTACAAAGCCAGGTTCTACTCCAGTGTCCAAATATTGACAGTTCTGCCTTGGAATTCCAAGTCTGGGACAATTCCTGGTCCCTCAGACTCCTTTCCCAAACAGGGATAAGGCTCCTTCCTGCACAGCTACATCTTGCTTCCAATTCTCCAGGGCAGCTGGAGGAAGGAAACAGCAGAGCAGCATGTGGGAGGTGTGGGATTTCTTGGGAGTGAATATGTAACTCCCTTCATCAGCACACAAATTACTATTTTCTGCCACGAATAGAACAGGAAATTATTCCCTTCCCAGCTCTGAAGTGGTCACAAGCTGGCTTAATTGCAGTCTTTCTTTATGCTAATTGAATTTACCCTGGGGAGAAAACGCAGCAGAGGTTTTAAAGCTGTTTTGGGGTGGATTTGATGCCCCAGCTCTTGGGGGAAGCGATCAGAGAACATTGTTCACATTTATTTAAATTACAGTTTTGTCCTGTCATGTTTCTCTCTAGTGACTAATTTCCTTGCTGAAGAATCCTTTATTATCTTCTGTCACAGGGGAATAATTTATTATCTCTCACCACCCATGTTGTCTTTCCAATATTCTCATCTCTCTTCCTTGTAGTTTTTCAGACAAGACTGGAGGGATTCAGTGCAGGACTCAAGCTGGGAGAGTGGCATGGCTTTGTGCTGGGGTGATGGTCCTTTGCATTCTTTCTTCTACACACAGCATCTTTCTCTTTCCCACTGCATCCCAAATGGCCACTTTAATGGAAATATTCCCAGTTATTTTGCTGCCTCTCCACACAGGCTGTGTGAAGCCTGATGGTGCAGGAATTCCTGGGCTGAGTTCTTTCTCTGTGTTTATCATTTCATGTTGATTTTCTTCTTTATCACTTGCCTCTTGGAAGTTTGTGGATTCGTTCAGATGAAATTGTGCTGGCTTTTGGTACTGATTCATTGTGTTTTGTGCTTGTTATTTCCTCCTGCTGCCCACACAATTCCCAGTTTCTTGAGGAGCTGAGGAAGACAAGAGGTACTTTGCTTACAGTTGCTATTGCAAGGAAACATTTCTCCTCTCAGTGCCTCGTTGTTGTTCAGTCATCATTGACATTTTAAAGAAACAAAGAAAGAAAATAACTGGGGAAGGGAAGGATTTCTGAAGGGAAGGATTTCTGGAGGGAAGGATTTCTGCTGGGATTCTACAGGATTCTGTACTGCTGGCTACAGCTCCTTTGGGGTTGGAAGGATTTGAGAGCAGGAGGAAAAGTGTTTTCTCAGGAGTGCCAGGGAGAGCAGTAAGTGTGTGGGGCTATGTCTGGCCTGCCTTTGGGACCTGCCCAAGCACAAAGGAGAGGCTTTCATGGCTCTGCCCTGGCCATGGAGTGTGGGACAAAGCTCTGCTTGTGGCTGGTGCTGTTGGCAGCTGGCCGGTGCCAAGGGAGCCATCTCCGGGCACAATGGAGCAGGAGTTTGGTCAGGGCTGCACAGACAAGCCAGCCTTGTCCAGGGGGGCTGATCCAGCCCATGCTGCCCTTGGGATGTTCCCTTGGGAAATGGGTTGGGCATTAAATGCATTTAGTGCCTTAGGAGTAGATCTGTGTGTGGGATTCACAGGGAATGATCTTAGAGCCTCTCTGCTCCTGACTTACCTTGGATTTGGACACCAGAGCCCTTCTCTGCTTTGGTTGTCAAACATCCCTGAGCAGGTGGAGCTTTTATCCATTTAAAGTGATTTCTCCAGGAGTTGATTTCAGCTCTTGAGTAGGACAGAGCAGGTTCCCAAGTCTATTCTTGCTTTTAGGGAGGGAGGGAGGGAGGGATGGATGGATGGATGGATGGATGGATGGATGGATGGATGGATGGATGGATGGAGCATCAGTGGCTGCACAGACCTTTCAGAAATGAATTGAGAAACAACTGTGACCTTTTAGATTTCCCAGCCCATTCCCTGTGGGTGTTTGCAGCACAACTGCAAGCACGGGGCAGCAGCTTTAGGGATCAGGAGAGGAGAGCGAGCTGTGGATTTGCCTTGGCTTCCATTCCTCGCTAAAGGGAATACTGGAAATGCAACCAGAGGGATTTCAGAGAAATCTGAGGAAAATGGTGCAGGTGCTGTGTCAGGAGCTGTAGTTTGTTATTCCAAGGACATCTTGCCCTGGAAATGAATCACTGCCTGCTGAAAGCCCTCGCTGTGGGAGGAATCATAAGCTCCAGCCCTCTTGGGGTTATCCTGTGTGTTATGGAGAAGTGGGATTGGCTTGGATGAGTCTCCAGAATGTGCCCTTTCTTCTGGAGAGTCTGGCAGTGTGGTGGAACATCCTGATCACCAGCCCTTCTCAGTTCTGTGGGTACATCTGGCTGTCCGTGGGCAGATCCTGGATTTTTGAAAAGTCCCAGCATTCCGGATATGCCTGGGGGATGCTTTCATTTAACACCTGGCACTGCTTCAGGATTTCACTCCTGCTGCCTCACTGCCCAGATCTGGCCACTTCTGAGCCAGATTCTGGGTTTATGAGCTGAGCATTTTCTGTTCTGCAGGCAGATGAAAAAGGGAATTTGCTGTCAGTGTGATATGGAGCAGGAGCAACTGTAGGAATAGGTGTTAGGAGATTGTTCAGAATGTGGTGGAGGGAAAGTACCATGGAATTAGAGCTGTCTGAATGCAGCCCCCTGACTTGTCTGTCCTGGAAGGTGAATTCAGCAATGTGAACATCCAGAATCCAGGAGCTCTCCCATATGGGTGTTTGTGGGCTGTAAGGAGAGGGAACATGAGCCTCTCTCAGTTTTTCCTTCCATCTTGTCTCCCCTTGGAAGAGCCAAAGCTTTTTTTCCCAACCTCTTCAGGATCAGCTGGTCATTAATTTCAGGTGGAGTCACTGGGAACTCTGCTGTCTCTCCCAGAGCACTAATTCCCACATAAATTCTTATTTTAATTTTTGGTTGTTGCAGTCTAAATGTCTGCCTGCTGATTCCCTGTCCCCTTACTCAAGTGCAGGGACTCAAATACATCTACCCAGTGCACAGGAAGGTAAAAAGTGGGAATGCTCACAAAATATTGGGAAAACTGTCTTGGAGGTGGTTAAAAGAGCTAAGAGCTGTGTTTGGGCTGGCTGACTGTGGAGGGGAGGTGCTGCTCTGTATTCCATGGCAGACTCCAGCTTCCAGGGAAGTCAGAGTGCAGAACCCAAAAAGTCCTTAAATCCTGGGGATTTAAGCTGGAAGATCAGGATCTCTCAGCTGGGGGTTCCTCCTTCCACAGAGTTTATTTTCTAATAAATGGGGAAATCCTGAGCTGAGATTCCTGTGTATCAGCAGCTTAATGAGGAGTCTGGCTACTAATTAATCAAGGCAAATCCTAAGGAAAGCTCTGGATGGATCTGAGCAGTAATGCATGGGGCACCCAGTGGTTACAGGGGATGAAAATTCCCATCATCATCATTATTTTTATTCTCTCCTGGTGCTGCTGCTCAGCCCCCTTGCACCTCCACAGTGCTCTGGTGATGCTCAGCCCGAGGCATCCCATGGAATGAGCTGGAATCAATGACTCCATCCTGCCAAGCTGAGCAAGCAGGGGAGGGAACAGCAGAAAGCAGAGCCTAAAATCCCACAAGTGCAGAGTTGTGGGTGTGAAAATCCCCCAATGGCCCTGAACCTGGGATCAGCAAAGCTGGGTTGGGAACAATCATCTTTCCTGGGAATACAGTGAAAATCAGATCAGATGTCTCTTCCCATATATATATATTTTAGTTTATTTCATGGCACTGAAATTTAATTTACTGCTGCTTTTATGGCTTTTTCATCAACATTTCACCAGGCTTTTAAAAAAAAACCCTGGAATTTATATTTGACTTGAGACAACTGTGTGATTTATTGTCTAGGAATATTTTATCTCCTGATCTTAGAAAATAAGCTTTTTATTGGCTTGTGTTTCTCAACCCCTGTCATGTTGTGGTTAGGGATGTTTAGTCCAGGCTGGGAAACAAATTGGAGAAGATCCTAAAAACACTTATTCCATGATCTGCACACAACAGAGTGGGGCTGTGGAGCCCCAGCAGCAGGAAAAGATTTTTGTCCCATAACCCACTGATCTGGTAATCCTTTCCATTACCATGAAAAATAAGAATTTGAGAGCTGATCTAGAGCTTTTCCACAAGAAAGTTAACAAATTAAAGGAAGAGATTTAAGGCAAAATGTTAAATTGTTCAGGCATCGTGACTGTGCTGTAAGTTACACACTGGAGATGGAGCAGTGATGTGTGAGGGGATTTGTGGGATTTTGTGACTCTGAGGAAAGTATAATTGGAGATTTAAAGGTCTCCTGGCAGATTCCTGCACATCTGCTGTGGTTAATCATCCCAAAGGATCCTTTGGGATGTCGCTATCTGTGGCAGCACTGGGGTGTGGGTGTAGGAAAGGGGATTTTTATTTGCATCTTTCTGCTTTTCAGCTTTATTTTTTGCAGGAATGAGCCATGTTATTGCTTTGTCTCTCTGTTCCACTTGGTATTTTTTGAACCAACCTCAGAGAAGGGATGGAAATGTTCTTCACTCCCAGAGCCCAGGCAGGGCAGGAGAGGCAAAACTTCCATCTGCAGGTTCTGTCCCACTTGAGAGCTCTCTGAGCTGTTGTTGTTTCTTGGGAAGTGCTGCAGGGAGGGAGGTTTTGAACCGCTGTGGTGCAGGGAGGTGAGGTGGGAGGGTGCAAATCCACAGGGAATGAATTTTGAATTTCACAGCTCATGAAATAACTGCTTTTGCCGGGGCCTTGCTTCTCAGGCTCGCAACTCAGGGTCTCTCACTGGACAAAACTAAATGGCTTTGCACTTTCAACACTGAGCATGTGTCATTCTGTTTCCCAGCTGCAGGATGAGGGTAGGTTTTCCAAGTGTTTCCCTGGAAGTAGAGCCCTGTGTGCTGCAGCTGGGCTGTGTGTAAGGAGGTTGCTGTGTCCTGTAGTTCATTCATTAGAGCTGCTCTTAGTCTGCCTCTTGCTGCAGTAACTTCACTCTGCCCTGCTCTGGGTCCTGGCACAGCTTTCCCTGCTCAGAGAAACAATTCCAGGTGTGGAAGTGTGCTGCTCCTGGTTTTCAGCCATAGAGCAGTGAGTTTGTGTCACACCCAACCCCTCTGGCTGCCTCATCCTTGCACCTCCTTCCTTCCTAGCTGCTACATTTTTGCTGCTTTTGTCTCTTCCCTGTGAGGGATGTGCTGTATTCCTTGTTTTCCCCACTAAGGTGTGAAGCTTCAATGCAGTTCACAAAATCCTGGGATGGTTTGGGCTGAAAGGAACCTTAAAGCTCATCCCATTCCACCCCTGCCATGGGCAGGGACACCTTCCACTATCCCAGGCTGCTCCAAGCTCTGTCCAGCCTGGCTTTGAGCACTTGTAGACCTTCCTTGTGCAGCCATGGACAGCAGGGAAATGTGGATTGAGGGTGGATTCAGCCCCAGCTGGCTCATGCAGGTGTCTCCCCATGCAGGTTTGCCATCCTCTGTGGGCAGGTGTCGGAGCAGGAGAGCATTTCCAAGCGCATCCAGGCTGGATATGTTTTCAAGGTGAGTGGCCAGGAGGTGCTGGGCTCTGTGTGAGTATCAAGCAACACTCATTTCTGCAGCAGGAAATTGGGAAAATTGGCTCCAGTTCTTCTGAGGGAAGCAGTAGATTTCAGGGGTGCCAGGGATGAGGAGGCTGATTCCAGCTATGCCTTTTGGGAGTGACTCTGCAGTTTTACACACTATAATTACAAAAAAAGAAAGTAAAAATCTTGCAAATGAATTTAGGTAAAGGATGAGACTTAGAGCTTGAAACATGTGAATTATTGTATTATTGTCTGCAGTGTGTGCCTGTGAGCAACCTGCACCCTCCCAGGGAGCAGTTGCTGCTCAAAGAGGATTTCATTTGCCTCAGATCCCCTTTTTTTTAATTCCTAGTATTATTACTAGGAATGATGTATGATGCCTTGTAGATATTCCAGGGGAAAAGGATGGACATGGAACAGGCCACAGGTTATTGTTTCCCCATCAGCCTTTGGCTTGATCAGTGAGGTTATGGCAAAGCTCTGGAGCAGGAATAAAATGCAGGGCAGCTTCTTTGTGTGTGTGTGTGCAGAAATTCCTGTCCCTGAGGCTGGAGAAATGCTGCTTTTCCTTGCTCACTGAATCCAGTCTAATTTTACTGTTTGTGACACTTAAATTATGGATTCCTTCCCTTCCTCTTTCTCCACTTGCTCTGGTGGGTATTTCACTTGCTTTTGACAAAAGTGTGACACGTGCTGGTGCTGTTTTCCCACAGGAACACATTGACAAAGCCATTGCCCTGAAGCCACAGGACCCACAGCTCTACTATCTGCTGGGAAGGTGGTGTTACCACGTAAGAGAATTTATTCTCACCCCCTGGGCAGCCTCTGAAGGGTTCAGAGCTCCAACTTGGGTTTTTAGTCACTGCTGGTGGCATGGGAGGGGAAATGGCAAAGGGTGGGTTAGGAAAAGCCCGAGCTGCAAACTCCTTTCCTGTTCCCAGTGCTTTGCTCAGTAAGAACAACCTTCCTTCCATCCTCTGAGCACACAGGGATGTGGTCAAGGCCATCTGAGGAGCTTCTGCTCCCAGTGTTGGTGTGTGAGGTGTTCCATGTGTCCCCCTGCCCCTGCCACACACAGAATTGGAGGCACTGGCAGCATGTGCCAGCTGCTTTATGTTCCTGACAGGGAAAAGCTTGGAGTCAAATGCCAAGCTCTCAATCAGATTTAGAGCCTAAAAAAGGGAATAAAAGTCTGCAGTGACTGTTGCTGTTCCATTTGTGCCATTGGAAAGCACTTTGTTGGGAATGGAGCCACAGTGCAGGGTTTGTAGCTGGGGTAATTGACAGTGGGAATTACAGAGCAGCCCTGAGCTGAACTGCTGGGAGCTCCTGCCTCTTTTCCTGGAAACAGATCCTTCCTTCTTGCTCAGCCTGGAGCTGCTGAAGCTGTGGAATAAAACCACAGGTGGAGAAGTATGGTAGTGCTTCATTTAGTCTACATTGTTGGAATTATGCAGGATTAAACAGGGTATTGTCGGAGGGAGCTGGTGGAGTCCCCGTCCCTGCAGGTGTTCAGGGAATGCCTGGAGGTGGCACTCAGTGCTCTGGGCTGGGTGACAAGGTGGGGATTGTCACAGGTTGGCCTCCATGGGCTGGGAGGGTTTTTCCAACCTAAATGATCCCATGAATATCTGGTGGGAAGGCTTCAGCCTGCCTCTCCCAGGGAATCACAGGGTGGAGGGGAGCAGGTTCCTGTGGAAGGTTTAGGCTGGGAGAAGGGAGAGCATAGGTGGGGACTGGTGTGGCTGCAGTGTGGCAGGCTGGAATTTGGGGCCATCCACGTCCCAGATGTGTGGAACTGCAAAAACTGACCTGGGACAAGGGAAAGCAAATCGGGTTAAATTCTGTGCCTGACTTGGATACTGCACGGGAATATTCCCACACTGCCGAGGGGTTTGGCTTCCTCCCTGCTGCAGGAGCAGCTCCCAGGGACTGGGCAGGCCCTTGTTCCTGTGCTGGTGTTGGGTGGACGGACCAGGTTGTCCTTTGTGTGTGCAGGTTGCCCACCTGGGCTGGCTGGAGAAGAGGACGGTGTCGGCGCTGTTTGAGGCTCCCCTGACAGCCACGGTGCAGGACGCGCTGCAGAACTTCCTGAGGGTAAGGAAAGGTGGCAATGGGCCAGGGAGGGGCAGCACTGACTGCACAGCTCACAGGAACAGCAGCACTGCCCTGCAGAGCTCACAGGAACAGCAGCACTGCCCTGCACAGCTCACAGGAACAGCAGCACTGACTGCACAGCTCACAGGAACAGCAGCACTGACTGCACAGCTCACAGGAACAGCAGCACTGCCCTGCAGAGCTCACAGGAACAGCAGCACTGACTGCACAGCTCACAGGAACAGCAGCACTGACTGCACAGCTCACAGGAACAGCAGCACTGCCCTGCAGAGCTCACAGGAACAGCAGCACTGCCCTGCAGAGCTCACAGGAACAGCAGCACTGACTGCACAGCTCACAGGAACAGCAGCACTGACTGCACAGCTCACAGGGATGGCACTGGGCTGCTTGGATCCCTCCTGATCCTTCCCCAAGCGTGGGATGTGGGTGAAGGAAAGCTGGTGAGAAGTATCCATTCCAGAACAGCCAGACAAAAGAATGGGATGTTGAATATGTCAGAATTGCAGCCCAAAGTGTTGGGAATTGGTTTAGGGGGGTTGGTTTTCCTTCCTAAGGCTGCACAGCAATTCCTTGCTCAGTACTGGATACATCTGGGCTGTGCTTCCAGGGTCTGGGAGCTGGCAGCTCCTCCCTCAGAATATTTTACTTAAAGCCTGGCTGACTTTTCCATTTCAGACTTTTCCAGACAACTGCTTGAAGGTTTCAGGGGCACAGTGCTTTATTAGGATTCTCCTTTCTGCCATCTATTTTTTTTTCCTTTAAAAGCTGCAATGAGCCTGATGTAAGAATTAATTGTGTCCTTGCATATCCTAATGTCTGCTCTTCCCTGTCACACCCTGCCTCTGTTTCTGTAGGTCGAGGAGCTGAGCCCAGGGTTTTCCAAATCAGGAAGAGTTTACATTGCCAAGGTAACCACTCACTTCTTGTTTGTTCAGAGAGTAAGAAATATTTGTATTAAAAATCACCTTTGGCTGTAAAGTGCTGACCAGGTAGAAAATACTCCATGCAGGAACAAAAATTTATAGGATGATAATATTTCCTTTTATCCTTTACATCTTTTTAGGCCAAATCACCTTTTACAGAGGCTTTAAAATTCAGGGGTTTTGCCTTTGAGTCAGCCAATAGAGCATCCTTGGTTTTTAACAGATGAAATTCTTTATAAATAGGAATGGTGACTTGGCAGCTGTGGGCTGGAGGTTTAATCCTTCCCCACCATGACTTCTGTGATGATAAAGCCAGAGAATCATGGGGAGAAGTAAAGGATAAAGGATTTCCCTTTCCCTGTCCAGCATGGGAGTCTTGAGCCCTCTTGCTGAGGGGTTTTTAGCACCCACTTCCTTTTCCTGGGTGAATTTCATGATCTCCGAACACCCCCCAAGACTTTATGGGCACACAAAATCTTCCTGTTCCCAGAGGGATCACTGTGCCTCAGCTGCTGGTCACATGGAGAATATTTCATGCCTATTTTGGGGCCTGAGACTCCTGTAGATAATATTTATTGCATTTTCAACAGGCTGGGGAATGATGTGCTCTCAGGAGAGAGGTTTTGTGGAGAAAATGGTGTGAGGACAAGGGGAAACAGCAGCTGAAAATCAAAGTAGAGCTTTGAAAAGGGTAAAAACCACAGGGGCACCTTAAAATGTCCAAACAAAACCCAATCTCCTTCCCCAAAAAGAAAGAGTGAAATATATTTAGTATTCCAAGATCTGGTGGTGTTTCTGAGGCCTGGTGGCTGAGGGATACTGCAGGAGATGCCAGTGCAAAGGGTGAAGAGGCAGTTTAGCAGTTTGCCACTTTTGAGCAGTTGCCCAGTTCCATTTGCTGTCAGTTTTCTCTATTTAACCCCTCTCCCATGGGAATTCCCTTCCCAGTGCTACAGGGACCTCGGGAACGACTCGGCGGCCGTGCTGTGGATGGACCTCGCCGCGGAGCTGCCAGGGTACACCAAAGAGGTAAAAATGGATTGTGCACCTCTGCTCCACCCTGTGACATCCCAGCTGGGCCACTGCAGCCACAGGGAGGGATGGAGCACCTCTGCCATGAGGGAAGGCTGGGAGAATTGGGCTGAGAGGTTTGTGGTGCTCTAATTGTGGCCTTCCAACAGGAAAGAGGGAGAGAGACAATTTACAAGGGTCTGGAATGACAGGAAAAGGGCGAATGGCCTCAAACTGAAAGAGATTGTGCTTGGATCAGGTATTAGGAGGAAATCCTTCCCTGTGAGGGTGCTGGCACAGGTTGCCCAGGGAAGCTGTGGCTGCCCCATCCCTGGAAGTGTCCAAGGCTTGGAGCAGCCTGGGCTGTGGAAGGTGTCCCTGCCCAGGATCTGGATGGGCTTTGAGGTCCTTTTCAACCCAAACCATTCCAGGACTCCACAATATGCTTAAAAGCTGGTTTGGAGGAAAATAATGGAAATAGTGTTTTGTATTTGTTTTAATTGACTGTACATTTATGAATTTCCTCTTGCATTTCCAGGATGCAGAAAGTGAGAAGGAACTTGAGGAGATGCGCTCAGTTTGTAAGGAATAATTGTGGAAAAACTCATCCCACTGGAGAGACAGTAAAATTCCAAATGGATTTCATCATCCTGACAATTCCAAGTACACTTCATGGATAAGCAACAAGAGCTTACAGGAAAACACCCAGCAGCACATCCAGGAAAACATCTTGGCATTAATGGGATAAAATAGTGATTTATTTTCCTTTGTATTTGTTTGATTTTAGGATCCCTAAAAATGTTACATTCCTGAAAAAAGGGGGGAATGTTTATAGGTAGAGTTTGTGATATAAAAACTTTTGTGATTATATATATGTGTGTCTATATATATATATATATATGGCAGATATATGTGAGATAGATACTTTGTGATATAAATATGTATTATATATTTTTATATGTGTGTGTATAAATATATATAAATATTTATTTATATATATAATATATATATTATATAAATGCACATATATCTTTTATATCACACTCTCTACCTGTCAGAAATCCTTGCTGGTGAGCTCCCAGTTAATTCCTGAGGAAAACTTGAGCCAAATTTTTTTCCAATATATTTGTATTGTCTTTTCCTTAGTAATGAATGGAATCAGTTGTAATAACTGTTTAATGGGTCTTGGGGAGATCAATTTCCAAGTGGGACCAAGGAACTTTTCTGCACAATCCAGACTGGATTTTAAGAGGTGCATTAGTCAAAGAAGTGAGGAATAGGATTTTAAACTTCAGGATTTCTCCCAGTGATGTTTCTGTCTTGTCTTCGTTCACACAAGGCTGAAAACTTCAGTCCCTCCAAACTGTGCTGCTGTGGTTTAAATGGAATGACTGAGTTTGGGAAGTAGTTCTTGAGCAGAGAACTGCCCACAGGGGTGGGAATATCCTGTGGCAAGGATCATGTTTTGCTGTGATGATCTTCTGTCACTGACCAGATGAATTCCCTTTGAATTAATTATCTCCTGGACTAATGAGGCATCGAGGAGGTGAAGCCAAGGACTGACATTCCTCTTGCAGCTCCTGGGGACCAAACAGCAGCAGGGAATTGTGCTGGATGCTGACACAGATGGGGAAGGAAAACCTGTTGTGAAATTCCCCACATATCTGTCAAGGCTTTGTTGGTATCCCTTAAAATTCCAATGGCAGCTACTGAACACTAATTCCTGAATGTCTGTTCCATGCTGGGGTGGTTGTGAGGGGTAAAGTGAGGAGCGTGTGAGTAAAACATTCCTTAAATCACCTTTTTTCCCCTTGCACTGTGGTGGGTTTGTTACTTCCTGGAAATAACGCTGAAGGGGAGAAGTGCAGCAGATCTCCAGCATTCAAACTTTCTGGATGCTGCAGGGCTGGGGGCAGGCACTGGCCAAAGCACAGATGGGGAGCTCTGGGAGGATTGGGAGTACCTGGATGGAGTGATGGGCCTGGATGCAGTTGTGGCCTTTGTCACCTTTGTCCCCGTGCCAGGAATGGTGGCAGCCCCGGGAGCAGCTGGGAGCTGGGGCAGTGTCTGGGGCTGATCCAGGGCAGGGCTGACCCTGGGGGGGTTGGCTCCCCACGCTGAGCTCAGGCAGGGTCAGGGGCACAGATGCTGCATTTTGTGCACCCTGAGAGTTTCTGTCCCCCCGGGCATTTCCTGCCGGGCTGGGGCAGGCAGGGAGCAGAATTAACCCTGCAGCTGCCGTGGCCATTGCTGGCCTTGGTCTCTCTGCTGTGCCATCCCACCGTGGCCATTTGCTGCTGTCACTGCCACTGCCGCCCCCCGGGGCTGTGTCCTCCTGGCAGCCCTTCCCAGCCCCAGCAGGAGCTCCAGTGGTGCCTCTGGGCCTGTTGGGAGGGTTTGCTGGGAATGGGCCTCACCCCTGGGAGGATCCTTTTGTTCCAGAGCAGACTCCAGAGCTTTCGGGCTTCTCAGCTTCAGGGTTGGATTGGAAAAGTCCTGAAAGGAAGAATAACAATGAGGTTTGTGCAAGTGGTGCTCTCAGACCCCACCTGCAGTCTGTGCTCTGTGCTGGAGGTTGTTGTGCACTGGCACTGCAGGGAATGAATGTCCCCTTCCCAGTTCAGCCCAGCAGATCCCAAAGGCTCTTACAGGAATATTTATCCTTTCCTTCCCTGGTGATAATTTAATCTGCACCTGCTGTGAGCCATCCCTTGAGTTCTCCTGGAGAAAACCTCACAGCAGAGGAGTTTGCAAAGAGCCCAGAGCTGTGTTTGGAGCAGAGAGAGCTGAGAGCTGCATCTGCCTGTGCTGCCCCAGCCTGGCAACATCCCCATGGAACAGCCTGGGCAGAGGGGATTGGATGGAGCCAAATCCCTTCATGCCAGAGCTTTTCTCCTGTGCAGATCAGGCATGGGGCAGGCAGCGAACTTTGGAAATCAGCTGATTTCCCCAGAAAGCATCACTCCCTTAGCATGAGTGACAGGACCTGTGCCCACTGCTCAGGAGTCACCCAGCCAAAATCAAGGGCAAAGGTTGGCTTGGGTCTGAGAACTTGAAATATCTTTGAAAGAGAAGAGATCACCTTTTTCTTCTTTTCTTTCTTTCAGATGCTGGAATTGCCCCTGTGGATGTGCACTGAGCTCTCATGCAGGGAACTGCCAGGCCTTAATGGTGGTGAGTTCATGTTCTTCTCACTGGGAATTGGGAATGATTATTAATTAGTAATTGCAGAAATGTTTTCTGAAACCTTTCCCCTTTGCTGGTAGATCTTCTCTCTCTGGCTTTGAATTTACAGAATTCCCTGCTGTCCTTTGCCCTGCCCGAATTCCTTGCAGCTCCTAACAGGGAAAACCTGGGGTAACTCAGAGGGGACAGAGGTGACATTTTTAGCTGAAAACCTGGGACAGTTGAGAGGGGACACAAGAACTGTTTGTGTAGGAAAATGTGAGGATGTCAAGGGGAGCAAGGTGACATTTCTGAGGGAAAAGCTGAGGTGATGTTTAGGGGAGAGAATGCAAATTTCAGAGTAGAAAAGAGCTAATCAATATTGTACAGAAAGGAAAATTTTGGGGGTAAAACTCGATGCAATCTGTAGGGGACAGAATGAATATATTGGAGTAAAAATGAGGTACTCAGTAGTAGACAAGGAAAATTTTGGAGGCAAAACTTGACAAAATATCAGGGATAGAGAATGAACACACTGAGGGAAAAATGAGGTGATGAGTACTGAGCATGTAGGGACAATTTGGGGGCTAAATCTGAGATAATTTCTAGGGGAGAGCATGAACATACTGAGGTAACATGAGGGAATCAGTTGTGGGCAGATAGGGAAATTTCGGGTTAAAAATTATATGGAATAATCTGTAGAGTGAACATTTTGAAGTAAAAATTAGGTACATATGGAAAATTTTGGTGGTAAATCTTGACAAAAGCTACATGATAGAAACTAAATAATACTGAAAGAAAAATGAGGGAATCAGTGGACTGGTAAGGGAATTTTGGGGGGCAAAACTTGAAATAATCTTAAGGTTGAGAATTACTATTTTCAGGTAAAAATGAGGTAAGTTATGGACAGGTAAGGAAAATTTTGGAAATAAAACTGGAGTAATCTCAAGGGAGAGAGTGAACACTGACATAAACTGAGGCAGTCACTGGTGGCAGGCAAGGAAATTTTGGGGGTAAAACTTGGGAAGATCTATAGGGCAGAGAATGAACATCTTGAGGTGGAAATGATCAGTGGTCAACATTAGGTAGAATTTGGGGGCAAACCCTGAGGTAATTATGTAGGAACAATAAATGGTTTTGGGAAAAAAAAAGTTCATTCTGTCCCCTATCTCATTTGGGGATAAGAGACATAACCTGTGTAGTGTTGGTTTTAAAATCCAGTTGGTAAATAGGGGACAAAATGGTTATTTTGTAATAAAATCTGAGTTAATCTGTAGAGGAAACAATGGATATTTTGAGGTGAAAAGGAGGTAATCAGTACTGGGCAGGTAGGGAAAACTGGGGGCTAAAATGTGAATTATCTCTAGGAGAGAGCAGGAACATCCTGAGGTAAACTGAGGGAATTGCTGTGGACAGGTGGGTACATCTGGGGATAAAACTTGAGGGAATCTCCATGGTAGAAAATGAGCATTTTGAGGTAAAAATGAGGTACTCAGTGGTGGAGAGGTAGGGGAAATTTCAGGGGTAAAATCTGAGGTGATCTGTAGCAGAGAGGATGCACTGGATGGGGTAAACTGAGGTAATAATTTATGGACAGGTAGGGAAATTACTGGGGGGTAAAAACTGAAAGCATCTGTAGGGCAAAGAATGAAAACATTGAGGTGGAAATGAGGAAATAGGGAGTGGACAGGTAGGGAAAATAATGGGAATAAAGCTTGTGGTAATCCCCAAATTAGAGAAAGAATGCTTTCCTGTAAAAAGTGAGGAAATCAGAAGGGGACAGATAGGGAAAATCTGGGGGGGAAATCTCAGGTAATCTCCAGGTGAGGGAAGGACTGTTTTGATGTAAACTCAGGACTTGCTGTGTCCTCCTATCCTGGCAGCAGCTGGTAGGGAAGGGAGAAGAGGCCTTGGGCTGGAGAGAGGGGCATGAGAAAGGCCCTGTGGGCAGAGGAACCCCCTGGTGTCACCAGGGCACCCGTGGGGAACAGAAGGGACACTCTGGGAGCAAATGGAGGTGACTGGATTGTCCCTTTGGGGGATGCTGGCGTTTAGATCATCCCACCCATTTGACTGCTGAAATATCCCAGCCCAGGGGCTTTGGCTGACAGGGAAACCCAGATTTGGGGTTCAGCTTTGCTGTTTAGATGAATTAGAGCTATAGCCCTGAATTCCCTGCTGGAATAACCTCCCAGTGCCTCCTGCAGCATGGATATCCATGGATATCCTCATGCAGCATGGATACTCCCACACAGAGCTGCCTATTGAACACCAGCTGTGCCAGGAGCCAGCAGAGGCTCCAGGGAAGCTCAGTGGGATCAGGACAAGGACAGGCTGATATTCCATAGCATTTGCTATTTATCACCCTTTGCTGTTTATTCATCCCCCAGCCCCACCCCTGTCCCCGGGGGCATTGACAGAGTTCCCTGGAATTCCATGGACTCCACCCCTGGGCTCGGGCTCCCGCTGATGTTTTACAGCAGCCCAGGGCAGGAGTGGCCTCTGGGAGTTCTTTTCCCTGAGGAAAGGGATGCACATCCCTGCCTTCAGGGCACCTGCAGCGTGACCCACCTGTGCAAGCTTCCCAGCAGTTCTGCAGTTCCAGCTGGCTCCCTAAAAACTCCAAACTTCATCCAAACAAAACTTCATCTAACTCTAACCTTTTGTTTTAGGGCACCTCCGCGGGCCTTGCTTGGGATGGAATTTCTGTGAGGGGAATTCCCTTGGCTTTCAGGCTGCTGCTGGAGGGTGTCCCCAGGCTGGAAGGGAAGGGACTGGAGTGGCCGGGACACCCCTGGTGGCTGTGTGGGAGGTCCAGGAGGTGGCACCGGGAATTGCTGTCTGAGCTCTCTGCAAACCCGGCGTGCAGCACTCCCGGGCAATGGCAGCTGTTCCTGGGGCTGTTTTTGGGGTGTCAGGGGGCTCTTCCCGGGCTGCAGCAGCTCCGGGGCCCGTTCAGAGCAGCCCCTGGCCCAGGAGCCGCGGGCAGCCCTTGGTCCGTGCCCATCCCAGCGCTGCCCGGGCATCCCAGTGCCCGCCCCGGGCGTGCCTGGCACGCTGCCCGCACGGGCGGGACGCTGAGGCGCAGCTCCCGCCCTGCCCGCACCCAGGACAGGAGGGGCCGGTTCCCTCCCGGGGCTCGGCCTCCTCCCGCCCCGCGTTCCCGGCCGGCCGGGACACACGGAGGGAGCGCCGAGGGACGTTCCTGGCAGGCAGCGGGAGTGCCCGAGGGCTCCGGGCCTGAGAAGCAGCGCCGGGCTCAGCCCCGCCGTGATCTGGGGCTGTGAGCGCTCACCTGCAGGAAACGCCCCTCGGCAGGCGGGAGCAGCCCTGACACTGCAGGAGAGCTTCGGCCTGGGACCAAGGGAGCCCTCAGGACTGGCCTTGCCCGTTTCTCCCTGGAAAGGAACACGGCATCAGCACCTTTACAGCCATCAGGGAAATGCTGGGAAGGGCAGGAAATCAGGATTACTTGGGAGAGTTTTGTGCTGTCACACAACAGTTCACCTGTGTTGTTCCATGATCAGGTGCTGGCTATGGAGCTGTGCCCTATGGACGCTCCAAGGGCTGGTGTGTAAAGCAGCACTGGCAAAGCAATTCCCCTGCTGGCATTTGGCATTCCTGTCTCAGGCAGGACATTGCCATTACCTGAGATTGGCTTGGTTGGAGCAGGGTGCTGAAAATGCCCAGATTGTGGATTCAATCCGCAGCTGAACCCTTCACTTAAGGGTTCAGCCTGGTGCTCCTGGTGTGTCCCTTCCCACTCAGGATGTCTGATGACCTGGAAATAAAGAATAAACAGTTTTCACTAGCTTTTTAAACCCAGAGGTTTTTTGTATTGGAGAGTGCGACCAATAGTGAAAGTGGGGGAAAGGAGGGAGAGCATCAGGTCTCACCTGGCAAGTGTCGGGTGAACGGCCCGAGCAGAACCGAGCCCGGGCAGGGCCCCGTCCCGCACCCGGCACAGTCGGAGCAGGAGCAGCAGTGCCGAGCTCGGCCCCAGTGCCCGGCTCGGAGCGGCTCCTCCGGCCCGCGGCGATGCAGCCCCGCTCGTTCCGCGGGGACGCGGCGGGCGAGAGTCCCGGGGGTGCGGGCACGGGGTCCGGGTCCCGCTCTACGCACGGTGGCCTTGGGGGTACCGGGGCTGAGGGGGCTCCGCATCCCCGCGGGGCCGGGCCGGGAGCGCCCCGGGGGCGCCGCGCTCGCAGCGCCGCTCCGGGCCCGCCAGGGGGCGCCCCGCGGGGCGGCGGCGCGGAGGGAGCAGCGGGGCCTGAGGGGTCCAGGGGCCGGCTCGGGCGGTCCCCGCGCCGCGCCCGATTCCAGCCGCGATCCAGCGCCTGCTCCGGGAATGCGCCGCCCTCCTGCCGGGCCCGGCACCGGCACAGCCCGGGCTCCCCACGGCAGCAGCGGGACCTGCCCGGAGCCGCAGCGAGAGCAGCCCCGCAGCTGCCGCGGTGCAAGCGGGAGCGACGGCACCGAGCTCGGTCCGTGCCTGTCCCGGAGCGGCTCTTCCCACCCACGGCGATCCCGGTCCCGCTCCCAGCCCCAATCCCGCCTCGGTTCTGCGGCCCCGCGACGGAGAAGCGGCTCAGCCCGGGACCCCCAGCAGACACCGGCAGGACCCGGACCCGAATCCCCAGGCCTGGGTCCCATTCCCGGCCCCACCTCAGCGCCTCGAGCCCCACGGAGCACCGGGAGCAGCCTCCGGTCCGGGGCTCCGCATGGCGCTCCAGCGACGGCCCCGCCGCATCCCGCGATGAGCATCCACCGCCCAAAGCGGAGCGGGCGCGGATCCGCCGGGATTTACGGGCGCGGACGGGGCGGGGCCGGCTCAGGTGTGAGGGGCGGGGCCGGCTCAGGTGCGCGGGGCCCCAGCGCGGCTGCGCGGGGCGGGGCCGAGAGGATTTAAACCCCGGGAATCACCACTGGCTCCATTCGCCCCCTCGACGCTCGGAGGGGAAGGTTGCGTCCGCGCGGGCTCCATATCTTTTTATTTGTTTCTTTTCTTTTACGCTAATTTTTACCTCTTTTTCTCAATACCTTCCCTCTCTCCCTCCCTTCCTCCCCTACCCCCTCCCCCCCCCCCCCCCCACGCCTCCCTTCCTCTCCCGCCCTAGCCCTCCCCTCCCTCCCCCCCAAACCGCTCCCTCCCGGGCCGGTCCCCCCTACCCTTCCTATCCCCTGCACACCCCAACCCTGCCCTACCCCTCCTTCCTCCGCGCTTCCTTCCCTCCCCAGCCCGGCTCCCGCCTGTCCCCTCATCCTCCTTCCCTTCCTCCCAATTCCTCCTTCCCCTCTTCCTTCACCCATCCTCCTCCTCCACCTCCCCCTGTTTTCCTTCTTCACCTTGATCCCTCCCGCCTGTGCTCCATCCTCGTCCTCCATCCTGCGCCCGTCCTGTCCCTGCCACCCCACTGCCCCCCTCCCTGCTCCCCTGCACACCCCGAGCCCCCACCTGCCCTCCATCCTTGACCCACCCCGACCACCCCCTCTGTCCCGCTGTTCCCGTCCTCTGTCCCCCTCTCCCTCTTTCCCCCGCAGCCGCGGGGCTCAGGGCGCTGCACAATAAAGCCCAGAGGGCCGGAGCGGCGCCCCCGCTGTCCCTGGAGCCCCCACACGGGGCCGGACCCGCTCGGCGGGACCCCCCATTGCAGTGCAATGCACGGCCCGACAGCGCCGGGGTTCCGGCTGTCCCTACAGCACACTGGGGGGCCCCGGGGGGGGGCTGTTGGGGGGGGGGGGCTGTTGGGGGGTGGGGGGGGTGTTAGGAAGGGCCCCTCCTCCGGAGGGGGTCCGCGGGGGGCGGGGGTAGGGGGGGGTAGGGCCCCCTCCGGAGGAGGGGCCCCGGGGGAGGGGGCGGGGCCGAGGGGGCACTCCCCCTTCAGGCCCCGCCTCCTCTCCCAGGACCCCCTCCTCCGGACGGGGCTCGGCCCGGCCCCCTCCCCGGGACCCCCTCCTGCGGACCGGGGCCCGGGGGGAGGGAGGGGGCGGGTGGGGCTGAACGGGAGGCGCGGTTTGTCTGTCCGGTGATCTCTATTTGTGTTCAGGCTGCAGAGTGGCGTGACTCCCTCTGCTTCCCCCCCCCCGGGGCCCCCCAGTGTGCTGTAGGGACAGCCGGAACCCCGGCGCTGTCGGGCCGTGCACTGCACTGCAATGGGGGGTCCCGCCGAGCGGGTCCGGCCCCGTGTGGGGGCTCCAGGGACAGCGGGGGCGCCGCTCCGGCCCTCTGGGCTTTATTGTGCGGCGCCCCGAGCCCCGCGGCTGCGGGGGAAAGAGGGAGAGGGGGACAGAGGACGGGAACAGGGAGACAGAGGAGGGGAATAGAGGGACAGAGGAGGGGAATAGGAGAAAAGAGGACGGGAATAGGGAGGGATGAGGTGGGGAACGGAGAGGGGCTGGGGAGAAGTGGGGGGAAGGGAAAGGCCGGGTCCGGAGAGAGATGATGGACAGAGGAGCGGTACAGGGGGAAGGGAGGGGGGTCGGGCTGGGCAGAGAGTAGGGAGAGGGGTGAAAGGAACGGGGGGTCGGGGATGGGCAGGGGAACAGCGAGAGAGGGCAGGGGAGGCTGGGGAGCGGGGAGAGGGCAGGGGGGGCTGGGTGGGAGAGGGGGGATGGCGGGGGAAGTAGAAAGAAGCTGGAGAGGTAGAAAAGAGGAGATAAGGGGGAGGAAGAAGGAGGAGGATAAGGGCAGGAGAAAGAGGGGGAAGAAAGGGAGGAATCGCCACCGGGAGAGCCCAGCGCGGCCGCAGCCTCACCGAGCTCCGAGTGAGCAAATGGCGGCGGCGGCGATTTCCGGGCATTAAATCACCTCGGCCCCGCCCCGCGCAGCCGCACTGGGGCCCCGCACACCTGAGCTGGGCTCGTCCCGCACACCTGAGCCGGGCCCGGCCCCGCCCGGGACCGCCCGGGACCGCCCCTGAGCCCGGGACCGCCCCTGAGCCCGGGACCGCCCCTCAGCCCCGGCACCGCCCCTCAGCCCCGGGACCGCCCCTCAGCCCCGGGACCGCCCCTGAGCCCGGGATCGCCCCTGAGCCCCGGGGCCCCGCCCTGCCCGCGATGGCGGCGGTACCGTCGCTGCTGGCCCCTCCCCTCTCACCTGGGCCGGGCCGGGGCTGCGAGCGGCACCGGGACCGGGGCCTCGGCTCCGGGTCCCGCCGGTGTCTCTGGGGCTCCGGGCGGTGCCGCCTCTCCCCCGCCGGGCGGGCTGCGGGTCCCGGCCTCGCAGCACTGAGGGCGCTTGGGGCCGCCGCCGGCACCGGCAGGAGCCGCTCCGGGACGGGCGCTGGGGCCGGGCCCGGTTGGTCCCGGGATGCCGCGCTCAGCCCGACGCGCCGGGCCGGCCCCGCTCGGAGCCCCGAACCCCTCCCGGCCGCCCGCGCCGAGCCCCGAACGCGGCCCCGGGGCTCCGCCGCCAGCCCCGCCCGCGGCGCTCGGCCCCTGCCCCGGAGCTCCGCCGCGGCCGCGGCAGCCCGGCTTTGGGCCGTGCCCGGGGCTCGGAGCCCGGAGACACGGACTGGCCCTGGCCGAAAGAGCCGCCCGGAGCACCAAAACGCGGCCTTTGGCCTTTCGCTCGAGCCCCCGAAATGCAGCACTTCAATCTCTCTTGGTGAAGCCCAAACACTGAGTGACCCCGGTTTCAGGACCTCCCACACACAGGCCATGGTCTCTGCTCCACACCTCTAAAATGCAGAACTTGGTATCGCTGAGATCCCAAATGCTGTCTGATGCACCTTGGCTTCAAGCCCCTCAAACCAGTCCTCAGTGTCTCTTTCTGTACCTGGCCAAATGAGCCCAGTTTTGAGCCCCCAAATCACAGCAGTGGGTGTCTCTCTGTGAGCCCCAAAACTGCCCCAGTCCCTCTGTTTGCACCCCCAGAAGTGCCCCGGGCCAGGGGCAGACCCAGCTGGGCCCCAGCAGCAGCTCCCTCACCCCCAGTGCGATGGGGAAGAGACCAGAGACAAAAATCCAGCTCAGAACAGTTTATTAATGGAAACCAAGACAAATGTAATAATTTAATAGTCATGACAGCACATAACAGTGATAGCAACAAGAGCAGTGATAACAATAGCAATAAAAAGGAGAGAAGCCATTCCACAGCCCCCCTTTAACATTATAAATCCAAAATGTAATCCAGAGCACCACAAACTCCCAGTGTGGGAGATTTCCATATTCCTGTTATTTTCTCTGTGGTCTATCCTGGGGATTTGAGGCACTGGCTGCTCTTCTAGGCAAGGGAACAGCTCCTGTGCTATTCCCAAAAACAGAACCCCTGGAATTAGTGCCCTGGGAGCCCAGTCTGGTCCTTCCAGTCACTGGGGGTCACCCAGAGCGTCTTTACCAGCATCAAATGAAATGACATCCTGGTCCAGTGCATTTCCAGCAGGATTGGACAATCCTGGCCACGGTGACCAGTCCATGGAAGTTGGACCGGTGACAATCCAGGGGGATTTGAAGTTGGATTCTTGCAGATTTCATTGTGCAGAAGCTCCAATTCTTTTTGGCACCTCTTGTTCAAATGTTTTCCTGCTCGAAGAGGTGAATTAGTCTTTTGAATGGCCAGACTGCCAGAGGCAGGGAAAACCAAGCAGCATTCCCTGCACATCTCCATCACTTCCACGTCCACCTGCAGCGAGTGGCTGAAGGACAGGAGCCAGCCCAGGACAGGCTCAGGGATGAGGCTTCCAGCCCACACCATTCCAGTATGATTCCACCATCTCTCCCTGCTTTCATTTTGTGTTGTTTCCTCTCAAATTTAAATTCCCAAATTCAGGTGATTTATTAAATGAACCATTTCAAAATTATTCAGATATATAAGAGGGAGCATCCAACATACAAGAATCATTCTTAAGCATTAATAAAATCATTATTAAATTAGAAGCTTATTCCCTCATCTCTGTCCTTGTTTAGCTTTCCTGCAAATCCTTATGATCCCACAGTTTCTCAGAGATATCAGCTGGGATTACTGGAAGGTTTGCTCTGCTGGAGAGCCAAGGGGAGTTTACAGCATTTGTTCCTCTGCATCTTTGTCCCCTAACCAGATTTCCCCCAGAATGGTGATGTGGGAGAAGTTTGGAATTACTAGAAATGGATCAGCTTCACAGTTTTCCCCCTCTGTTTTTCAACTATTTCAAAATTCTTGGGATTACTCTCAAATATGTCCAGGTAAATTCCTGTGAAAGGATCAATCAGAGGAAAATCGTAATAGAGATTCTCTACCGTAAATATATAATTCTCTCTCTCTATATATAATACATAATATATAATATAGCATATAGCATATAGCATATATAATATAGCATATAGCATATATTATCTAATTCTCGTAAATATATAATTCTCTATTGTAAATAGAGAAAACCACCTCCAGCAGCAGCTGGAATGATCCCATTGCTGCTCTCACCTGGTCTCCAGGTGCTCCTGCCAGAGCTCCCAACAGCTACTGCCATTCCCAAACGGGAGCCATGGAAGACATTCCTGCTGTCCATGAGGGTGAGGAGGCCCTTTGGGATGTTCTTGGCTGTGCAATCAGACCAGAGAGTGTCAATGACCTCGTGCTCCCTCCCAAGCCAAAGCAGCGCCGGATTCCATGGGATGATCAGCACCTTTCCCAATTCCATTCCAGAAACATTCTCCCACTAACCCGGGACTTTCCTTTTTCTGCACCACATCAGGGATGTGTGGCCCAGTGCCCCGGGAAAGGGATGCCTCGGCATTCCCTGGAACACTTCAGCACTCCCTGGGACGCCTCAACATTCCTGAGGTACCCCAGCATTTCCAGGGGTGCCCCGGCATTCCCGAGGTGTCTCAGCATTCCCGGGGTGCCCCAGCATTCCAGGGATGCCCCAGCACTCCCGGGGTGCCCCGGCATTCCCAGGGTGCCCCGGCATTCCCAAGGACGCCGCTCCCCGCGGCTCCCGCGGTGCGGCGCCGTCCCGGGCTGCAGTTCCGGCGCTGCCCACGGGGCGGCAGCACCGGGCGCTCCCGGGGCGGCCGCGCCTCTGACCCGCCCGGAGCCGGCGGGGCCGCGAACGCCGCGGGCAGAACCCCCCGATCCCCTGTGCCACCCTCCAGGGCACAGGATCGCGGCGTTCCTGAGCCAAAAGGGACCCGCGGGGAGCATCGAGACAAATCCTGGCCCCGCACAGGACCCCAAGGATTCCTCGCTGTGCCCAGGAGCCTTGTCCGGAGCCCGGCTCTTCCCCCAGGATCCTGAAAACACAGCGGGGCTGGGACAAGGATGACGATGGGGGAGTTTTATTTATATGTCATTGAAGGATCGTTCCATAGCTCCGTTATGTATCGTTATCGGTAACCCTACAATCTATTCGTCCTTACACCTCGCTTTCACGGCGGCGGCTCCAGTGACCGACGAGGCCCCGCCTGACCCCCGCTCCCCTTCCCGCGGTCACACCAGGTTTCCTTCCCGGCTCCAGCCCTGGATTCCCGTGGCAGTCTCAGGTGTCTCGTTCCATAAAGCAAATTATTCACAGCAACACAGAGCCAGCCCGAGCTGGTCCCTCCGGAGAGCACCGACCACCTCATCCTTACCCCAAACTGTGCGTTCTGGCCCCTGCACATTAATTCAGATTTCACTCCAAAATGTTCATGTTGGCCCCTACAGAATCCGCCCTGGGCCCCGCTCGGCCGAGGCAGCTCCGGTGTCCCCTGCCCGCAGCTCCCGCTGCTGCTGCCGCTGTCCCGCTCCGTGTCCCGGGACGGGGCAGCGATCCCCGCACCGGGAACGCGATCCCTGCACCGGGACAGCGATCCCTACACCAGGACACCCATCCCCGTGCCGGGACAGCGACCCCCCGTTCCTCGCTCGGGGCTGTCTCCGCTCCCCGCTCACTTCCGATCCCGCCGCCCCCGGTGCCCCGGGCCGGCGCCGCCGCTCCCTGGGCTCCGCCATTGCCGCTCCCGGCTCCGCGCCTGCGCTCCCGGGGCTGCCGCGTTTCCTTCCGGGAGCAGCCCCGGCCTCAGCCCCGGATGGAGAAATGCGTTTGTGTTTTCAAACCCTCTAGCTCCGTAACCAGAATTCCTTACCGTCTATATCCTGGCTATAACACAGCAGGCACAGGCTTTTATTTCGGAATCAGTTTTTAAATGCATTAAATTTCTCAGAATATACAAAAATGGGAATATTTGCGGTTTTCAGTATTTTACACACAAACCCTCCATGAATTTTCAGGCCTTTTGGGGCTGTAACCTCCCTTTTTTGGAGGGATCTCACTCGGGCCCCCTCATCCCTCACTCACCCGCTGGAGTCCTCCACCACAATGGGCTGTGCCAAGTGACACCATCAGCCTCCAGACTCCCCCATCCCATAGAAGGCACAGGGAATGTCCCTGAGGATGGTGCCTTGTCCTGGATTGTCCCAGGGGACACTGCAAAGTGCTTGAGGAGGGCAAGCCCCGCTCAGCAACCACCAAACCTCCCATGTGTTATCCGCACCATTACCATTCTGAATCCAAATGCAGTAAACAAAAAGTTCCCTATCCCAGTTACATCCAGCACAGCAGCCAGCACACCCTGTCCCTACTCGTCTCACAGCTGGACACCTCCAGAAGGGTTCTGTGAGGGACAGGGCCAAAACTCCTACTACAATCCCAAAAAAGAACAGGCTCTGCCTTCCCATCACCTCTGAGCCAGGAGACCTAATGGCAGCAGGATAAAAAACCAGTTAGACGGGAATTTCTCTTGTTCTCCTGAGCTACCTGTGCCTGAGGCAGGCACTGTCCTTGAATTGCTTTCCCAGCAGGGCCCAGTATGACCTTCTCCACCAGTTTTCCTGGCACTGAAGTTACATTACCCAGGCTGGAGTTTCCTGGAAAAGTCCAAGCGGGACACAGCTGGAGAATGTCCAGCCAGCAATGGAGCTCCTCAGGCTTCCAGGACCTTGGGTGGAAGATTGAGGTGGTTCCTTCTGGGACGTAGTGGGATGAATCCCATACAACATCGCAGCCTCAGGGATATTGAAGTGGTCCAAGTGGTCCCCAGTGATCGCAAATGGAAAATCACCGCCCTTCCTCCCCCGCTGGACACACAGATAAGCCAGCAGAGCTTGGCAGAGCCAGGGCAGCTGGGGGAGGGCAGGTGACGGGACAAGGACACTGGGAACAGCTAAAAGCGGAGAGGACGCCCAGAGAGCCGAATTCCCGCAGAACTCTGCCACCCTGAGTGGGTCAGCTGGCTCCAGAAGGATGCTTGGCGTGGCTTTGGGCATCGGGGTCCTGCTGGCCCTGCTGGGCTGCACAGCCACCGAGGACTGTGGTGAGTGTCAGCCACCCATGGAGAACCAGGAGACACCACGGATGGGACACGGGATCCCACTGACCTCCCCCTCTTTCCAGTGGCCCCGCAGGATAAGGTCTCCCAGCTGCTCCAGCACATGGAGGAATCTGTAAATTTCGAGGAGCCGGCGAATCCCAGTGTCCTGCTGGCCATGAACCTGGCTGGGGGGGACAGCGACGGCCCCATCCACAAGTGGCTGCTCGAGGAGATCAAGGAGGAGGCAGTGAAGAGAGCCCAGAAAGGTAGGGAGGGAAAGGAGGGAAGGCACCAGCTCCCGGGGGACCAGGTTTCCGCCAGTTCTTGGGGTGCCCAGCCCAGCACAGCCTGGCTGCCCCCTTGTCCCCACAGACATGACCTCGGGACAGGTGGCTCTGCACGTCCTCGCCCTCCAGTCCTCCTGCCAGGATCCCCAGCATGTCCATGCCCTGGAGCAGACCGTCGACCTGATCAGTGTCCTGCAGCAGAAAACAGATGAGGAGACGACCAAACTGGGTTTGTTGGGGCTTGGGGGTCTGGGGCTGTCACTGTCCCCACACCCTGTCATCTTGCCACTCTTTGCTTTCAGAGGCTGAGGGGATTCCCAAAACCACCCTGTACAGCATGGGCCTGGACACCCTGGCCCTGTGCCTGGCTGAGGCGGACGGTGCTCAAAGGCCATCGGTGGCCCTGGCCAAGCAGGTGCTGAACCCCGAGAGACCCATCTCCGTGGGTAAGGAACTCCTCTGCTCCCACATTCCCACTGCTGCGGTCTATCCCGAGCCTTGGCGGTGACTCCAGGACCCCACAGACACCCAGGCCATGGTGGCACTGGCACTGGCCTGCGTCTATGACCACGTGGAGCTCCAAGACGTGCAGGATCTGCTCTGGGAGGCACTTCAGACAGTGAGCAACAGCTTCCTGGATGAGCAGGAGGAGAGGGACGGCATGATCGGGAATATCTACAGCATGGGGCTGGCCCTGCAGGTAGGGGAGGTGCCAGGGGAGTGTGGAATCGCGGCCACCTGGTCCCATTCCCAGATGTGCCATTCCCCATCCCACCCGCTCCACAGGCACTGGAGGCCACAAGGAAGTTCTATGAACCACGGGAGTGGGACTGTGCCCAGGCCTTCTCCAGGGTGTACGCCCACGACTACCAGCAGCCCATGGCCATCGCCCAGGTGCTGCCAGCCCTGGTGGGCAGGTCCTACCTGGATGTGGCTGGCCTGGACTGTGCTGCCACCATGTCCCCAGGCCGACAGCTGCCCCTGCCCCCAGTGCTGGGGACACACGGCATTCCCAGAGGTACGCCGATCCCACCTGGAGTCGCCCAGACTCCGCAGGGATGATGTTCCCACCCTGTGCCCACTGAGGGTGTGCCAGGGGCCCACCCTGCCGCTCTCTCCCTGCACAGCCCTCATCCAGGTGCATTACTGCATCACCAACGAGCTCCAGGGAAAACACTTCCACAACTGCACCTCAGTGGAAGTCCCAAGTGGCTCCACTCTGCTCCTGGTGATGGAGGAGGCAGCAAAGAAGGACCCCCAAACCTTTAGGTGAGAGCCAGGGTGGCTTTGGAGGTGGGGTTTGCCATTTCCCCACCCAGGCCTGAGCCTCCTCAACTCTCCCACAGCTTCCAGACGGAGCAGACATCCTGGGGTCCCTATGTGACCTCCATCCACGGGCTGGCTGGCAGCACGGAGGACAGGACCTACTGGATGTTCCTCAGTGCTGGGAACGCCCTCGAGGAAGGTGGGGAAGGGGGCGAGGGATGGTGCAGGGGAGTTTGTGGTGAGGATCTCCATGTCCCAGCCTCACACATCCCTCTGCTGCAGGGGTTGGCACCTACAAACCACACAATGAGGAGCACATCCAGGCCATCTTCAGCAAATACTGATGCCACCAAGACACCCTGGACCCCTCCATGGAGCAATAAAGTGACATTCCAGCATGTCCCTGTGTGTGTGTGTGTCTCTGGGAGATAACACAGCTCACATCCCTTCTGTCTTCCTTCCTGCTTAATTCCATGAGCTCAGCTCCTTTCCTTCTCCTCCCCAGCACCACACACAAGCACAGCCTCACCCAAACTCCATGGAGTCAATTCCCTCTTGGACATCCATAAAGCCTTTCCCCAGCAGCCACAAGCTTGTTGCTCCAGGCACATTGCTGTGCTTCAGTTCAACCTATTCTGATCCCCACATAAGCTCTCATGGCATGAACCAGATGCAATTATCTCCATTTGATTATTACACCACCAATTAGCACCAGCCTCAGGCCAGCAGTTGCATTTCCCCCCCGGAAATCCGCAGGTGGTGGCCTGGGGTTGCAGCTGATTGTAATCTCGATTCTGTGACTCCATCTCTGGGCAGGAGTCACCAGCACCTCCCAGCTGGGTCCCATTCCCTACTCCCACTGGGCCTTGTCCAGCCAGACCTTCAGCCTGGTCACCTGCTCCCAGCTGGACCCTTCCCACCCAAACCATTGTGTGGTTCCACAGACACTGTCTCCAGAAGAGCTGGGAGGGACGGGATCCAAGTTCTTCCCAACAGCCCAAGAACCAGCATCCACCATCTTCCACAATCTCCAGTACACGTGGTCTTATCCCAGACATCAAACCAGTCAGACTCAACCCATGGTGATGGTGCCACCCTCCATGTCCTTCCGTGACCACACAGATAAGGTGGCATCATGTGGAAGTGCCTCAGGAAGTGAGGGTGGGCAGTGACCACAGGATGGCACCAGGAGCAGATAAAAGCAGAGGGCACAGCTGGAGAGAAGAGTGCCTGCAGGACTCTGCTGCCCTGAGTGGATCAGCTCTCCTGAGGACAGAGGATGCCCAGCATGGCTTACAGCATGGCAGCCCTGTTGGCCCTGGCAAGTGCCACGGTCACGCAGGGCTGCGGTGAGTGTCAGTCCTCATGCAGCGGCACCGCAGACAGACCGGTGACACTGCAGGGGGACGAGTGGATGCTGC